TCAAAAGACTTGCCACTACCTGTCAAAAGACTTGCCACTACCTGTCAAAAGACTTGCCACTACCTGTCAAAAGACTTGCCACTACCTGTCAAAAAACTTGCCACTACCTGTCAAAAGACTTGCCACTACCTGTCAAAAGACTTGCCACTACCTGTCAAAAAACCAACGATGAAGACTCTTACTCCTCAAGCAACAGTGAAGTAAGCAAACATGAAGTCAAGTGTGCTTTTTGACACAAACTATTTTAACATTGTAATAAAACCAAATGCCCATAACATGAAGCACAGTCGTGCAGAGCAGCAATATGACACTTGACTAGTCACAAGTATGCTTGATTGTTTTTGCAGTCTCGTTACAGTTTTGTAGAAAAAAATTGAACAAAACGAGAGTTCAGGAAAGAGGACATCTTGAAAAAATTCCAACAGCGCATCCTTTATAGACATGTCCCACATTTGTGAGACGTTCAATGCACGTCCAAAAGTGGTCTGAGGCCAAGGCCTCGTATGCGTATCAGTGATGTCACCCAAAGCTTTCAAAAGCATCTAAAATGCTTGTTTACTATGAGTTTGGTTGATGCTTCATTCCTCGTAGTCTGCTTGGCAAATACCCAGCTCCAACAGATAGGTTCATGGTGCACATTTGAACACATTTAATTTACATGTACATGTATGCTGACCACAAATCGGAGGTCAGAAGGGCTAAGGCATGCTGGCCGCTCTCTGAGTCTATGTCTAAGCCAGAAACTGGGCAGTGTCTATCTCCGACCAGCCATGCACTACTAGTCTCCCTGAGTTCCAGCTTCACAATCAGGGTCAGGCCAACGCTTGCCAATGAAGTGGCATTCTAAAATGAGAAACATCCTCTCTATCGTTCACTTCTTTTTGACTTTCAGTCTTGGCTTCTTGACTTTCCTCAGGAAGGGATTGTCCACCAGGACCGTCTCTACTTTCATCCTCTCCACCCGTGGCTTGGCGCTCCCGGGGGACTTTGGCGCAGCCACCTCCCCTTCCTCCGTTTTCCCTGACTCTGCCTCTTCGGTGGCAGGCTTCTGTTCGTCCGTGTCGGTATCTTCCATTTCGTCTTCGTCGCAGATTTCATGTTCAGGGGGCATCAAGGCATCGACATACGGCAGAGGAGATGGGGTGCAGGCAATGACTGGCAAAACAAATAAATTTGGACTCAGATTTCACGAGAGAGGTACATAAAATGGGGTATTTCAGGGAATGACTGCAGTACTTGATGTCTGAACTTGTCTGACAAGCCATGTTGAACTGCTACAAGGAACTACATGTATTCCTCAAGCATGGTTCCACCAACCAAGCTTAATACCCGGCCATAAATTTAGTCCTGAAACAAGGAAACTGAGAACAATGGTGTGACCTTCTGCAATTTGTTGTTTTTATTTAAGCAGCTGGGGATGTTGAAGGCGAATGTGCCAACGTCAAAGGTTCACAGTACTGGTAATTAGGACAAGGATGGCAAACTTTTCATAGGGGAGGTTAAAAATTGGGGGGGTGGTTTAGTCACAGGAAGATGAGCAGAATGTAACAGTAATGATGTTTCAAATCAACAAACTCACGAGGGAAGACGTTGCTATCTCCTGGGAACAGGGTCTGGGTGTCACCTGTTTTAGCAATGAACCTCGTCAAAGCCCTCTCGACATCACGTTTTTGAGATGCTGCCCTCTCACGGATGATCTTATAGTCATTCTCTTGTTGCCTGTTGGTCTAGAACAGCACAAAGAAGAGTCCAACCTTCAGATACTGCAAAGCATTTTGGACATGGACACCAAATAAAGGACCGTAGATGGTGCTGTTCGGTGACTCACAGTGCTGTTCGTCAGTTAGATGTTATTGCAATTTAAACTCCACTGTTGGAACCAGAAGCAGTGCAAAGTTGGCATGTTTAGACAATGGCCAATCATAATCAGTAGGGCAGAGTCATTACGAATAATTCACTAGTTGAATACTCGACGTTCAATTCGATCGAATGTTCGGTCGTACCGACCAGCAGATTGTTGATGAACCACATACAAAATCAGTTGCAATAACCAACACAATGTCCAGCATAATCAATATAATAGCTACTCACATCTAGGAGTATCTCCAGCCACGATTTAGCAAGATTTACAAGACAAACAATACTTCTTGCCCTGTTGAAAATTTCTATTCCTTTTAAATTGTTTAACGAGTAATTTACTGTTTAAATCGTTGTAAGATTTCTGACACTTTTCATTTGAATCTCCTTCACTCATTATCATCCTGTATATGGCGCTAAATGCGCTGTTGGATAATCAGCTACATCATATAAATAAAAAATAATTGAACACTAGTTGACTGTGCTCTTGGTTCTGTTGTCGTTTATGGTTACTTTGCTCTCACCGCTGTCCTGATGTAAGTGTGCGGGTCGGGAAACTCGGGCAGGTGGTCAGGAATGTAGGACGGATGTGGCTTCCGTTCGTTGGTTTGAAGGGGCTTGCATGGCTGGGGTGGCTTACCGCGATCCTCTGCAACATACCCGCACAAGAGGACAATGTTGGAAGTCTGTTACATGTACGACATCACTTGAAAAATGTGTTACTACAGTTGAGCAACGTATTTGAGTCAATCACAAGTCCTTGAAGTCCACGACAAGTGTGTCGCAAGCCACCCAGTCACAAGCAACATCGTCACAAGCTATTCAAATGACTTGTGACAACAGCGTTCCCTTGGCACTGTTCACTCTTTTACTTGTGACCAGGCATGTGGTGAACTTGTAATAGATCTGACTATAATAGACCTCATGTGTATGCCATCACGTTGGAGGGTTATCTCTCTCTCTGGGATACGCTCAAGTAAACTTTCTCTGCATTCATTGTAACGATATAAAAATAACAAAGAACACCCTCTGAGACACCAGCAGCACAATGGTCTTAAGAAAATATGACGAAGTATCTTAGCCTTTTTTCCAGCATTGTGACAGTATCATGCGCACATGGAAACTATAAGTTCTGGGATCCTAGTGATGGATAGCACACTATGCTACTGGATTGTGGGATATTCTGCATGCCACCAATTCTGAATGGAACAGTACATGGACAAGCCATCACATACTGAATATTTCGATTTTGATACTTACGATGCAGTGGGGGAAACCTTCGCCGCCTCCGAGCGTAATGGGCCAGCCCCCTAACACTAGACCCCATCCCCGTCAGCGCCATGCCCACATCAGTCACCATGGGTAAGGTACGGCTGGCAAGCTCGCAGTAGTTCCTGGCGCTGCGGCCCAGCTCTGTAATATCTATTGACCGAAACAAATTGTCCAAAGTAAGTATAAACAAGCTTCATCGAAGGACGTGATTTGAAGGCATTTTTTTTACTAGCCTTTCACGCATGTATGCAGTGCCCCTCGGACTGTAGTCGGGGGATCGTAGTTGCACATCTCTTGGCACTGACCAAGGAGGCAAAGCACATACAGCACGGGCATACACCATTTTGGGCCTGATCTTTTAACACTGCGTCAACGACCCTTGTTCACAGTTTTAGGGCCTGTTTGTTTCATGCGGATCTGGATCGCAATCGGTGATCCCAGAATTGGTTCGGGCTATCCATTAGGCGGGCGCTAGTGTCAATGAAGCAAACACGGATCACTGATCGCGATCCGGCTTCATGCGAAACAAAAACGCCCTGTGTCTATTGTTCACTGGACGCGGAAAGTTACTTTGTGCTCTTACATCACAGTATCTCACAGTATCTTGCAGCCTGTACTTACAGCTCTGAAGCATTTCTGTCAGCGATTCCAAGCAGGAGTCATTGGCGCAGTCAAATCCAGTTTCCATGCAGATCACCCCGACGGCAACGCGCAGCGCCCGGCGATGAGCAGCAGCAAGATCCGAGCTGGCTGTCGATGTCATGGTAATTTGAAGGTCACCAGCGTCTAGAGCCTAGCAGAATCTGATTTTAAACAAAAACAGACACAAAAAACAAAAAATTAGGAAATAAAAGGCTTGTGTTTCCAGTCCTCTTTAAAATTAAATTCTTGAAGATGCAGAAGTTTTTACGTATTTTAAACTAGACCCTAAATTTGGAACGTAGGCCAACATGTATTTCTCTATCTCCCAAATTTAAACTGACCACAATAGCCACATACTAGGCTAAGCGTGCTAAACGTTAATCAGATACCAAAAATCACAAGACAATACAGTATAAGAAACCAACAAAAGGAAAACAAAATTAAACTTAAGTAACAAAGATGAACCCTTGGCTGGCTTAGAAAGCAAAAACTGAAACCCCTTATGTACGAGGTAAAACTACTTGAAAATAAGTCAATACAACAGCAAAGTCTGAACCAAACACTGACTGAAACATAAAAATTAATTAGATAAAAACCTGTTAAAACAGGTAGGCCTAGGTCCCAACTTAAACTTAAGTTTGAAAATGTAGCCTAACATTAGTAACAATAAGTTAGTTAAAAGTAATACCCTACAAGTACAACTACAAGTTGAAATTTCGACAGCCGATTTGCAAACAAATGAAAAAGAGGTCTAGCTAGGCCTACTTACAAAGTTACACTTACAGTTACAGAGTGTATGTACAGACTACAGTAACAGGCTAGAGCCTACGCCTACTAGCAAGTGGAAATTAGGCGATTCCAAACCTTCTAGTCCTAGGAAGGAGGGTACTTTACTTTGTTAAAGTTGAAATCTGACATTCACAAGACTAGCTAGGAGTACAGGGACCTAGTTTGCAGCTTGCTTGAAAAAACATGCATGACACTTGGGCCGTTTTCCAATACTCAACTTCGTCTCCGTCTCAGGTTCGTCCCCAAAACCAATCCCCGATTGTGGGCTTGAAGCGTTTAAATCAAACTGGATTATTGTACGTTTTTGCTCTCTTGCATCTTATTTGATGTTTTATGGCACTATTAGACTAATTAGTACTCTTACAGCTTCAAAGTCAGGTCGTAAAAAACAGTTTTTTGAGACGAAGCCGAAGTTGAGTATTGGAAAACGGCCATGGGTACCGACATGACCGTCGTATCGCGTACTGGTTGTAGGGAGAAGGCGCAGTCATTGTATCAGCCTAATGGCACCTGTCTATGTTTTCGACTGGAAACCTGTCTAATTGATATCGGTGCGAGTACAAGGCCTTCAAAATGGTGAAAAGAAAACTCAGCACTCGACGCATCTTGGGAATTTCACTTCTTTCTTTGTAAAGACTAAAAAAGCAACGATTAAGAAAAAAAAAACTCTACATCCCAGACTCGAAACTTGGATACCTTAGTACTAGTAGGCTACTGACATCATGAGCGTCGTGGTTGGGACCATGGAGGTAGGAATGGTTGAGACGTTCCGGGCCGGGGCCCCTCCCAGTTGGAGGGTATAAAAGGGAGGGGGGATTTAAAAAAGAGGAAATAGAAGGGGAAGAAAATTGCCAGTTTTATAAAAAATTACCGTGTACCAGAATTGAGCGCTCAGGAATTAATGGTCTGCCAGGCTGCACTTACACGTGGTTCTTGACTTTGCCAACGCAACATGCCATACCAATTTCGTCTGCTAAGTCACGTGACACACAGTTGGAATCAAGCATCATGCAGGAACTGCGTCCTCCCTTAGAAAAGTGAGTCGGTTGTATCATTTACGGAAATAAAGCTTATAGTCGGTACAGGTCGAGACCACCGTGGCTCGCTGGGTACTGATATGTACTGTATTCATTAATATTGTGATTATTTTGTAATTACTTATAACATTCATGGGGAACGCCGTGTTTGCTGAGTGTTTGGTACTCACCATAGGTCACGTGAATTATCGGGTGCAGTCTATACACCCCGGAATTATATTGACGCCTTCCTGCATTGGACGGCCACACGCCCAGGGCGAGTCCCGTGGGGGGCGGAGACATCCCCCCAAAAAGGGTTTTCTTTTTTTTAATACTAAGAGAAAAAAAGCCATGTTGCAACGTTCATTTATCCATTTACTTACAAAAACATGTTAATTTTTTTAAAAAATATGTAGCCTCGGCTCCCTAAGGCTTGAAGGTTACACCAAAAAATTCCAGATTTTTTGACCTCTCTAAAAAAAGATTTGCCGGTTTGGGATCCGCCCTTGCCCACGCCGCAGCTCACGCCCTTCTCGGAGAACTCAGTTTTTTTTCCGTCATTTTGTGGATAAAACAGAAAGAACTGACGGTACCGCAATGTATTTACACTTTTGTCATGATTCCAAGATTCCAGTCTGGTCCTTGCGGTTTATTGAAGGGTCACGGCAAGTCCACCCCTTTAAAGGCTTGTTTCAAGTTTCACACGGTGCACAGGCTCAGGCTGACATTGACCTCACCTCCCGAGTCCCAGTATGCTGTCATACCAACATCACCGCGAGTACACAGCTGGCACCCAGTACACTTTGAACTTTTACACAGATAGGCATCTTGTGTTTTCTCACAGGGGCTAAGGCGGTTGCGTTCACACAAGCCCTGCACAGTGGTCCCTCCATTACTAATACGTACACACAATCGCCCGAGCAAGGTTCAGAGATAAGACATACATAGTTACAAAGTACCAACCGCAGTTTGAACCCCACCTTAATTATTTGATACAAAAATCCACCAGAAGTGGTCTGGATTGTAATTTGTTGCATGTGAGAAGTTGTTGCTAACGTTATCTACGTGTACACCACAGCGCACTGTGGAATTTAGGCAACTGATCACACAACATTTGGGAGGAGTTTGTCTGCCGTGCAACCGACTTTGGGCACCGGTACCGACGTGCTACAAGGCACGGCGTTTGCAACTTCTTCTGTCCAGTGACGACGTGGAAACCTAACCATGGGTAGGTTGCTCTCTACTTTTCTCTTTGATGGGCTTGGTCAAAGTTAAAATCAAATACATGCACCTTACAGGCCTATAGTAAACAAAGGTAGCGTCATCCTGTAATGCATCATTCCAGAATGAATCTAGAAAGTGTAGCGTTAAAGTCTCGAGGCTTTTAATTGAGAGAGGAAGGCACTGCGTGGACCGGATTGAGCAGAAAAAAAGTCAGTGAAAGCTTCTGAGATCTTCATTTAATTGTTCCCATCCCTACTTATCTCTGGAAGGCTCAGTCCTGCCGTTAACGGGCACGGAAGCAAATCTGCCTCTCATTTTTCTCATCGCAATTTTATGTTTCAGTGCTAATTTTTATTTAATTTTCCGTCATTTTTTCCTCTCCAAATAGCACAGAACGTCCCAAAACGTATCGACCAAGAAAACAAACAGTACAGGAAGATATTTTCAATGTTTTAGCTACCCCAACCCAAAAAGCGCTCACTGAAATTTTCTCGGCACTACGCTCTTTTTCACCGAGTCGTTCAAAAGAAAAAAAATATTTAATAACTTAACTGAAATGTTTTACTATAACATGCTACTTTTTGGGATGCCGGTAGGTCGTCTTCCCCTAGAGCTGCAAGGAGCAATACAGTGAAATTACACTCAACAGTAAACCCTCAAAATAATTGGAACTTAACAATATTTAGATTATTAAACATTTGTGTTTGGTGCTGTTCTTTGTTGCCGGCTGCTCCAGTTTACTTTGAAATGTGTGCGTGTCTGGGTAAGATCGATGCATGTGAACAGGACACTCGATTTAAGATGCAAAATGGCAAAACATTTCTTGGAATTGCCTCCATCGTGAAACAATAGAAATTTAAAAAATGACAATGTTGACTGAAGTTTACCATAAGTGGGGCGTTTTCCTTGTCATTTTTGGAATTAATCTTCTGAGAAACGTGTACATAAAAGACTTTATTGGCAATCGAAAGAAATTGTAGAGCCGGGAATCACAAACCGAACCATTTTCATAAGCTTCAGTAATCAGAAGTATAGCGCCACACCCATCGGCCTATGGTCAATAAAAATGGTCACGATTTGTACATATTATTTCTTTTAGGCCCTAATTTTCTAATTGTTTCCCCCCGTGATATAATTCAGAAGAGGTTATGACAAGTTGTGCTTTTACTAAAGGGCTAATTTTCTTCATTCAGTATCGTTTTCATAAATCTGTGTGCGTTAGGGTTGCACTTTCAACTTTACCAGAGACTTTAACGCCCTTCAATAAAATAAACTTTGGACCACCAAAAATAAATGATATAAGTTGATCAAATAAACGCCAGTGCACCATGGCTGATGGCAACAACTGATTGGTTTCATTGACCGGTAATCATTAAACAGACATTAAGTGTCGACTTTGGGCTATATGTATATGCCAATATCGATGTAATCAATATTTTCCAGCATAGTGCACGCCATACTTAATTGTATCTTTGCGACTATTGAGCCAAGTACAGAGTTAGGTTTGCTGTGGCTTATATTGATGGTGAATGGTTCGCAGGGTGGGCTATGACGTGTAACCCATTAGAACAGAAGCACTCCCTCATCGGTCAAGCAGAGCGAGGTTGGTCGGGAGTGTTCATTTTGCTGCTAGCGACCGTAAGGTGTGCATTAGTCGTTCGTGAACCAGCGAGGTGCAGTCCTGACCAGAGCAGCCACCACGATTGCTAGAAAATAGCGTCCTCTCTTGGTCTTGCTTGGGGTTCATTGCTTTTGATTATCGCTCCCGAATTATTGAGTTAAGGCACTTAATACATCTGCCAGAAATGTTGACGGAAGATGAATATTACTAAACGTTCAGAAATATTACAGAGGTGCGCGTTTTAAATCACATAGACATTTTATAAAATGGTGATTTTAAGAGAAAAAATGTAAATAAATTGCCCAGGTTATGAAATGTTCCTTTAAGGAATCTTATCGCTGTCTTTGGTCGAGTTCAGGCGGCCTGCCTGTTCTTGACACGGGTTTCTTGTTCTCGCGCTCGTACGGTGGGAACACGACTCAAGAACACTGTTCTCGGAAAAGGATCACACACCACCTCCTCGTCAGGGTTTACAAGAACACACGGAAAAACTCGTGAGATTTTGATTTTGAACAGCTCCAAAAAAAAAACATGAAAAAAAGTAGAGTGATGGCTTACAAAGCCAGGGACAGTAGGAAATTTTGAAAAAGTATCATAAATTATTCTTCATAACACAGAAATGAATGTTCCTGTTTAAACAGAAAAGAATTCAGCCCAATTGTCCAAACATTAACTCTCGAATAACGTAATGATGGACGCCGCCATGTTGCATGTTGCTTGTCACTAACTACCAGCGATAACCCGTGTACGTTCCCAACGCTCGAGCGGCTGACCCAAGAACAACAAATCGAGATGTTCGTGAGCACACGAGAACAAGCCGCCCGAACTCAGCCCTTGATTATCGCGATGAATATAATGAAAGCCCGTATCAAATAAAAATGATATCCAACTGCGCCGTCTCCAGCTTTTAAGAGGCAATCAATACTACCAATATCTTCACAAGCTTTGTCCTCTTTTTTCTCTTTTCCCCTCGTCTATAGACAAAGGAGATGTCATTGAGGAGGTGAAGCCCCAGAAGGATTACTTTGTCTTCTCCATTGTGTCCTTTTTCTTTTGCCCTGTTTTCGGGATTCTGGCGATATGGAAGTCCTCAAAGGTACGGCCGTTGTCTTTTCATCTTTTTCTTTGACATCAAAATTGAAATCTGAAACTTGGTGTGCGATAGCCTGAGCATCGCACATTAAAATCCCGTTACATCGATCTTCGAGGGACCAAACTCATTTGAACGTTGTACCTGTACAGCGCGTCAGGACCAATTTCATCATGAGACAATACGCTCACGTTTTCAGAAATATACACAAGGGCTGCGTACCACCTTGCTCAGAATATTGACAAGAATATAATATGGAATCAGTGCTCTGAAACATGTAATTGCCGATCTTTCGGTAACTGAGCACCTTCTTCAGGGCAAGCAGATTCAGTTCATATTTCATTATTCTTGTCAATACGCTCACGTTTTCAATCCGATTCGCAAGTGTGACGCCACTTCGGTTTAAACCACGCCCGGACTGTGCATGCACTGCACGTAGAGTTACATGCATTGATCGCAGCTTACATGGAGCCGTGGAACCAGAAGTTAACGCAACTTCAGCGATCGTCCAATGGGAACATGCAAATTGTGGCGCGTCCGCCTTCGTGACGAGGTCACATACGAACCAGATAACTTTTAAGTAAAGATATATTGAAATGAAGAAAACGTTCTGCGAGTCTCCCATGTTCACCTACTGTGGCCATTTGACCCTGATTTACAAACCCAGGTGAGATTCACGAAGAACGATATTTTTGACACGATATTCTCTCCCCACCCACCCCTCCAGACTCGGGAGAAGCTTCGCAAGGGTGACGATTGGTACGCTGAACTGGCCGCAATGGACGCTCTCAAGTGGGCCTTGACAGCGGTGGCCGTTGGGGGCGCTGTTTACTTCATGGCTATTCTCCTCGTCATTTACTGGTTGGTCAGGTACTACTTTGGCAATGACGAAAGTCCCTTCATTGATTTGTGAGCTGAGCCCGCCCAATGCATCCCAGCAGCAACGATCACTCGTGGGTTGCTTTTGCGAAAGCAAGAGAGAACAGACTCTTATTTTGCATGATGATGATGGCGCCCTACAAGTAAGTCCGACATTCAAACGACAGTTTGGGCACCACGGTTTGCTGTATAATTTGGGTCAAAAAGAACACTTCTCTAAGTCAACGAAGACATTTTCCGGCTCATTTCGACCCGAGAAAGTGTTCTTTTTGACCAAGCAATGGGGTGAATCAAACCGATGGAGCATATGGTAGAGTTTAAAACTAATGATCTCTTACCATGAAGTGAAAAAGAGAAATAAGAGGCTTTGTGTCGAATTAGTAAACGTTGGAGGTTTGTTTAGAGACAGTGTCAATTTTATACTTCTGTGATTTACTCGAATAGAGGGAAAGGAGCACAAAGGCAGCAGTGATTAGACATTACGTTAAAAATTAATTATGTAAATGTTCACATACATGTATGGCATGCAAACCCTTTTGATTAAAAATTGTAATTTTTTTTATTTCTATGGTAACACGATTATATCTAATTAATAATTACACGTGTACTTTCTATTTAGTCACTACCTTTTTTGTTCCAAACCCCTCAGTTTTATATAAAATAACTTGTTTAAAAGCTAGCAAAATATCTGAATCCTCTTGGCGATTACTTGAGGAGTAATATTTTAGATTTTTCTAGCAAAAATAATTGTCATTTTTTGTGAAATACAGAATTCAGGCTCGTGAAAAAAATACCTTCTTATTCTAAACATGTACCGCTCTTTAAGCGGACTTAGGCTATGCAAAAAAGGCTAAACTAGTTCACCATGATAGAAAAATCAACCGTAATATTTAGTATTTTGAAACTGATAATGTAAATAATTCTCAAGTATACAATTATGAATTTGTTTTAATTACGCACAGTAAATGGGCCTGCTATTGAAGAAATTCTTCCACTGGTCTAGTCTCATTCTGAAAACCTTTTGTTGTAGCATTCTAAAAGTTTTGATGTATATGTACATGTGAATTTGTCGCGCTCATTATTAACTAAATTTCTGTTTGTTCTGAAATACCAGCCATACATTTCGATCATCATCTCGATGGTTGGGTATGAACTGTTGAATAAAACCAATTTATAGTACAATAAATTATATCGTCTACCGAACATTCATTTAAGTTAGCTAAGCTAGCTAAGTTAGCTATGATCGCATGTGAAATTTCATTATACCATACTTTCAGCAGATTTGACGGTATACAGCTGCTGGTATTTCATTTGAGCAGAAGCACCCCCTCATTGGCTGAAAAGCGCCACATTGGTTGGGAGTTGGTTTTGTTGGTTGGCAGTGCGGCAAGTTGCATTCATCTGGGGTGGCTAATCATTACGGTGGGTGGCGCCTGTGTCCAGTCTCTCGTCCGATTGGGGAAGGGCTGGCCTTGTCCTGGTTATTTTGCTTGTCTGTCATATTTGTGCCAGCGTGCCAGCGCAATGGGGCTTGCAATGAGCGCTGCGCCTGCTGTCTTCACTGTCGGACTCGCGTGATGCGTAAAAAAAATCGTACTTAACCTAACATTGCCAGGATGAAATCATCAGATTCCTATTTTTTTTTTTTTATTTATCTACATGTATTTATTTTTCTACAGCATGTCAATGCAGGATGTGTACATCTAGCAACCGGTCACTGGGTTAAGCACTCAGTGAAACGAATGTCTTGTTTTAAAGTTAACTGATGCCATAGGCCACAATGAAGTACACGGCAACGATCACAGCGGCAACCACGACTAGACCCGAGATAAGTCCCACCGTGCTCCAGACGTTCGCGCACCGAGCTGCCGCTTGCGCTTCTTGGTAATCACCGGCCAAGTACAGCGTCCTGGCCTGTAAAGTAAGAAAAACAAATCATTAACAAACGAAACATGACGAAGAACAAAAATACAAAACAAAGTAAAACCAGATCTTATAAATCGACGGAAATTTCCAGTATTACATCAAAATATTGCTTCATATGTAGTGGCCTTCACCTCATGGAATGGAACATCTGTCGCGATCCTCACGCGTCGAAAGAAACACTTTAACATAAACACGTTCGTCTTATATTTCATAAAACGGCGGGATGACTTTTTTTCACAAATCCCTGCATCTTGTAAATAAAATCCTAGAGTTAATCATTCAATGCATCCCTTTTGTTTAGATGGAAATTCGATCGATCTATCTCCATTTACAGGATGGAACATTCAATTTTGCACTGCTAGTGCACGTGCATTGGGACAAAAAATTCTTGAAGAAGCGACTATCAACGATCCACTGATCAGACGACCGGCTGTTTGATTCACGCAGATCTGCCGATCGCGATCAGTGATCCGGATGTTGGTTCACTGACGCAATACTTGCCGGATGAATAGAACAACTCATCGTTCAGATTGCTGATCGGGATCTGGACCCTGGCGACAGGCCCCGGGATTATTCTTGCTGCTGTACAAGATCCGCACTGCAGCGATGACACAAGGCACAAAGGGGGCACCAGCATCTATTTGGCGGGTACCAGCTTTCAGTGGTGTGGTTTTTTTGGGCAAGTTTTTGTTAGCCTTGTTCAAGTTCCATTCATTCGGTTTTTTTTGGGGGGGGGCACCGGGAATTTGTGTATGTGGGGGGGGGCACGTGTCCGAAGCCCCCCCCCCTGGCCACGCCACTGTCACACTGTCACACATACCCTTGACAGCTCTCCTTTCGCCAACCAGCCGATGGGGCGGCACCACCAAAAGCGGACACACTCCGCGAAGCATTCTTCTTGAGCAAATACTTGATCAGCTGGACAAGACGATACCCCGACCTGCTGTACAACTTGCACGCCGTGCGGATAAGGAGGAACGGACTGTAGGAGAGTAGAGATTCAAGGAGCCATTTTTTTTGAGTGAACCCAAAGTCGCAAACTCCTCTGTTGACGTCATTTTGATTGTGATTAAAAAGTCGCACTCATGGTATGTGGCATCTTGACAACATGAACGAGCTATCCCATAATTAATTGGGCAAATTCAAATTGAAGTGAGCTCTCAAAAATGCTTCAACTCCACCCTGAAATTGGCTTTCTACCTCCTTTAAATGATGCCAAGCCAACCGATCTGCAGTATTACATGTACCACACTGACATTCCCGGTTATTATGACTCAGGGTTTGCTTCTTTTATTGACAGCCGGGGGGAGATGAAGGGGTAGATTTGGATTTGGGAAACTGGGTTTAGATAGCTTGTTTTTTATTACAAAAAATATCAATCACCTGATGCACGTGAGTTTGTTGGTGGTGAAATTGTTGATGTGGCTGTTGGCTGAGAGAGGGCGCTGAACTAGGACTTGCAGGCTGGTGGAGCGGTGGACCGACGGAGGGCGCTAAATAAGAGCTTTCCACGTTGGTCTTGGGGGGAAAAAGGCGTGATTGTTAAAAGATACCAAATACTGACGTAAGATCAGTGCCATTCCTAAATTTGTTCGTGGGCGGGGCTCCACGAAGCTCTCTGCACAAGTGACAGTGGACTGCTTTTCATGATAACATCACTTACACTGTACGGAGGAGGACTGTCTTCATGGGGGGAAATCTCGTTGCGAAGCAAATCTGAAAAAAAAGTTAAAGAATTTGGTATCATTCAGTACAAATTTTGGCTTTCTATCAAGGTCTTACTTTAACGCAATGCTCCACTCAGTGTGCAACATTAACCGAATATCCCATACGATGGCGCAATCACGGCACCGCTTGCCAGATAAACTACATGCACTACACAGCAGAGGGAATTTTCATTCCCAAGGCCGTATGTACCGTCGAGTTCGAAGGGACTCTCCAACAAACCTCGTCTTACAATAAACCTCGTGTTTACGTGCATACGCTGTGGAGTGATCCCCCACACACGTAACTGCGTACTCAAAAATAACAATATTGTAGCTCTCCCAAACTTCGAGTCAGGCTCCTGTTCCCCCCTCAATAATTTGTCAACACTAGGCTATTCTCGTTGTCACCGGTCCTTAAAAAAGTCCTTGAAGAGGAAATTAAGCTAGTCCTACCTGTCTTGATGTTGTCATTTTCCATGTCTTAGGCTAAGGTCTGCTCAACTGAAGGGCAAAGACTGGATGGCAACGATGTGAATTAAATTGTCGTCGATGTCATGTGAAACCTGCAGAGCAGCAATGACCTTTGTCACCCTTGCTACGCCGTCGCATAATACACGTAGTTGGTGTCGTTAGTACACGTACATGTACCTACATGTACTATGTACACCATGTACATGGACATTTGTAAGTACTTTACAGGAACCTTGAACCAAAGAGGTTATTGAAATCAGTTATCGCTGTTTTGAGAGCGCGCACTATTATCAAGTACGTCACGAACAGCTACTGCGCAGGACGATTGGACCGATCGAGGGCAAATATTAATCCCACTGAACCTGGGAACCTCAAGAGGAAACCATTTTTTCACCCACAACTGCTACCACACTGAGCGTAATTCATCACACGTCGGCAAAATTAGACAGGAACACTTGACAGATTACCAAAGTTAAGGAAACGGTGGTCAGTTGTGGTCTGTGGGGCCTATGCCCTAATAGCTTGGCTATCATAGGTCAGTAAAAAGTTAATGTTACAATGCAGCACTGGAGATTTTGGTAAAATTGGAAACCATTTTCGAAATTTTAAGCCATAAATGACAGTATTTTCAGTATTGGATTTATTATAAGGTTAAATTGAAAATTCCTCCTGAATGTATATATTTTCACATGAAACGTAAGAATGGTTATAATTTTTCACAATACATTTAAGTCTTTCACTTTTAATTTAGGATTAAGAAGGCACTTTCATGACAAACCCCTTCATAACTTTGATGCTGTAACAAAAGATAATAATAAAATTGTAATAAGAAAAGACATCACACTAGTTTCCTTGAATTAACAGGGCAAACCTCATCCTAACCTTATTTCGAAACACACTGTGGATTGGCATAATGAATGGTCTACCTGAGAATACTAACTTGGATCGATAACTCCACGTTATCAGGTCAATAATTAAACCTTGAGTGCTATGCGGCTTCAGGAGGGAAGCCTAAAGTAAGGGTTTTCAAAACGGATCAGACGAGAGCAAAACCAGCAATACAAAACTGGCTGAAGATCATCGGCACATAAAAAACATACCGAGAAAGTTAAATACAGGTATCACAAAGTGCGGCCATGTTTATGAGTGGCTATGGGATTGGGTGTGTTAGGGGAGGAGACTCGGACAGGTCCCCCCCCCGCTCGTGTGATGCAGAAGCCAGCCCCCTCCCCTTCGCCACAGGGACAGGGATTTGGAAGGCAAATTTGCAGATCACATTAAAATTCCACGCTTCATACCCTAGCNCCCCCCCGCCCATAGGTCTCCTATACCCAGGCAACCTTCCCCCGCCACAGCCCATCACCAACTGACATGCATCAGTACCCAGGTGGATCCATCAGCTGCATCCTCGTTCCACCTGACTACACAGAAGGATCCGTCACACTCCAGTACTCCCAGTCAGCTCATAGATGGATCCCAATACGACGCTTTTAGCGTCGATCTGCGCACTTCCGCGTTGAAAAAAAAGAGGCTGTATATGTGTCAGCTTCAATTCTTAATAGGATCAGACGATTGAAAGTAAGAACAAGGCGCCCGAACTCGGCCTCAGTGCGCATTTTTAACGTTTGGCTAGCATCAGTCTAATTGTTGAATGAGGGCGCCCTTCCGCATGCTCTCCGCGCCTGCGAGAAACACTTTCACATGTCATGCCGGTACCCACTCGTCAGATGTGGCTTCGTGTTGCGCCGAAGTTCACCTATTCTGAGCACTTATCACATTACATGTATTGGTATTCGAGGGCAGTGGTCTAAGTTACATTGTGTATCCAGAGATAGCAAGAACTTCACTTGTTTTGGTGAGCCCACCCTGCCTACGTGTTAATTGTTCAGTGAGCAGAGCCGGGCCTGCCCCGTCATGCAGTCATGCCTGTGTCCATGATATAATTTGGCAATACATCATGAGCTGAACTGTGTGTCTGCGTGATCTTTCACACTTTGCCAAGCTTGTTGCACAGTCATGGCAAATTTGGGTTCTGTACGACTTACGTTTACATAAATTGATGGGAATAACGTAAAACTTGTTTCAGGATGAAGTCTGTACAAAAATGCATGGGATTCTAGTCATGCTTGTGGCATAGTGGGTTAAAACTGTAAGCCACTCGGGAAGTAAAGGAGACTGATAATGCTGCACTACATTACACCATTACACTGAAACTCGTCCGTGTTTATGACTGAGTGCGAAGATCGTTGTCTTATTGTTTTGCATTGGCAGCTTGCATACGTCAGTGCCATGACAGGCACCACTACTTTGGTTGTCAGTGGCAGCAGTCTTTGCATGTTTTGCTCCTAGCAGCTAGATGTACATTAACCTTAACCCCCAGGCCTTTTTTGCTAGAGACCCTCTGAAATCCTCCAAAATGTCTTGAAAATATTACGAGGAGGTGTGCCTACTGCCTCAATCCTTCAAATTCCTCCGGCAATTCCTGTCATTATGTTGTGGCAGTGTGAATGGCATTCTTGAGTAGTGCAGTTGATTCGAAAGAAATATCGGATTGAATTTATGCATGACTGGGCAAGAACAACACAAGGTCTAACCCGCAACCTTCACGCATGGCATCCTTCGCAATCAGCCATGCACTTTTGCCATTCACCCTCTATTCTCCAAAATCCTCCCAAATCGCCCAAAGGATTTTGGAGGATTGAGGAGGGTTAGGGTTACATAAAGTCTTTGACTTCACACAAGTTCTGTCAGTCTGCGTTCCTTATCCAGCAATCATGAACAATGTGTTGACATTTACACCAACATGTTCAATGTAAAGAAAAGAAACAACAGGAAAACGAAAGTTTGGTGCCACTGTTAACCAATGCAGACTTCCTTGACAACTCACTTCCACAAATGGAACTTTTAGTAGACCAGAAGACTAGAGCCCTCGAAATGGTAGTTCAAAGAAGATAAGATAATCAACTTTCTGTAGATGTACACGTACATGTAAACCAAACTACATGTACGTATACATGGAATGTATACATGTATCTTCCTGAGCACTGATGGAATAGACATTGAGCAGTTCAGTCTCATTAACTTTTGCTCTTTCTTTGTTCTGTCTGATTTCCTTTTTTCTTGTTTTCTGTGTACAGTGTTTTTGTTCAAATAGTTGTTCATGTCTTGCAACTTTCTTTTTATAATTTTTATGTCTTTCAAATTACTTGAGTTTAGGTGTGCCTCAGTACAGTTTGCAGTTAACCAGTGTACCCGGTACCCACACATGCATGTACACTCACACCAGTAAAAGGCTATATTTAAAGCAAGTCCCTTTAACGTCTCAGGCCGATCTGGAGGCTGGTGGCACCTTTGCATGGTATTAAGGAAACTGATTCTTGAGTATTGAGAATTTGTTATCAATAGTCCTATTGAGCACTTGTACACATGTATGCCAGATGTGAGTAAGTCAAGAACAGATTTGTCATGTCAGTAGTTGCATGTGAGGTGTTAAATATTGGAAATGAGATATTAGCTTTGGACAGTGCAGTGACCGGTGAACTGCGTTTTTGTGTGTGCAATTTCATTTTTGATAGCAAAGAATTTGAGTGAATGCAAAGCAAGAAGTTTGAAGTAGCTGAATCTTCTGATGTAACACGTTCTTGTACACGTACACGTATCTTGGGCAGTTTGATCAGAACTATTTTGTTCTCTTGTTAATAAAGATGTATTTGTTTGATAAGTCTATTTTCCTATGTTTGCTACCAGGGAAGAGTTTCATCAACGTAAAGTTTGAGGGCGCATTGAGGGTTGACATTGTTAGCTGGAAAGTCCCCCCGGGATTTCACTGGAAGGTGAGAGTAAAGGTACTTGACATGTATCTAGCCAGTGGAGGTTGGGGGGGGGGTTAAAGTGACGTATCTGAGACTTCTTAACAACTAGGATGGATGCATGTGCGCATTAGGCAAGGGAATGCAGGCGATTTTCAGCGCAGTGCTCCGCCAAGTGGTTGTCATGGAGAGGCCTTTTCGTAGTGCATTATGGGATAAATAGTCAGAATAGTCTCATTTGCTAACTGTGCTGTATGAGGGAAACTTCAAATTTTGAAAATGTTTGTTCATCTTGGATAAAAATGCAAATTGCTTATTGTGAGTGAGTCAAGAGGATGTTTTTGTATGTGGTGGAGTGAACACCTTCAAATATGTCAAATTACATACGAAATGCGCTTAGTCGTGGCAACGTGTTGACCGTACACTCAAGAAGGGGTCTTACTGCGGCAGACTCTTGGTAGTGTGCAGATTCAGCATGTTTGCCCTTAACTTTTTTTTCAAAGTTCTTTTACCATGTTTAAATTGTATGTATTGCAAACAGAAGCCAACCACATGCATGCCTCATATGATACGGTGCACCAGGTACATGTACGTCTGTCAACTGGGCTGGTTTGGCCATACGTGGCAATCATATGCTGCCGTTGGAAGGCCACAACGCCAAAAAAAGTGCATTTGAGGTCAAAAACTAAGTTGATGATGTAATGCATTTTAAGCCTTTGTCAGCTGAGCTCCATCCTTTATAAACGAACTGGATCTGTTTATTGCATTTGTTGCAACTGTTCGGCTGGCAAGCCAGGCCATTTAGGGAGACTTCTCAAGAGGCGATTTCAACTGTCATTTGGCCAATGGACCATCGCTAAATTGAACACTGTAGAAGGGAGTTAGTTCCTACATGTAACAACAGAGAATGTACAGGAATTTCACAGTTCACAGCTTGCAACATGACTTTCGACTCTAGATGACTTGTTATTGATGGAATATTGACTTCTAATGATGTGAGTGATTTGAAAGGAAAAAGAACATATGTGACCCACTCTTCAAACAAGGCCCTTCAGTCATGCTCTGCCTCTGTAACAGACCGTTCCATGCACCTGCCAGAGATCAATTCTAAATTTTACTGTATTTCGGGAATAGAGCATGGGACAGAGGTCAAAATGCATAAATTTAATCCTTATTATAATGCTTCTCTATCCATAGGCATCACTTACAATCAATTTGTCACATGAGAGCCCAAGGGCCATTTTTGCAGAGCCACATATATGTCTCTGTGTACAGTCCCACTACTACCTTTACGTTGTCGGACTACATGCGGATGCATACGTGTACGTGTATAATCAAAATATAAAACTTTGCTGCTTGCACAATAGCAGATTATAACTTTGGCTTGTGTGGCTATTTTTCATGAGTTTCTTTTACTTTCCCTTTTCAGGATCATGGCATCCAACTCTGCTTCGGGGGATCTTGTCCACACAGATGCAGCTTTGTTCGATAAAGGAGAAACAAGTCTGCATGGAGTAATGACTGACGTGTCGCCTCGTTGCATTGTTGCGTTGAGTTCTGATGAAGAACGACTTGTCACGGAGGATAGTACGTTAGGCGTAGCTTGTACTTGCCAGACAGGGGCTTCCTGTACTGAGCACCCACTGACTTATACCTCTCCAGAGGCATCATCTACATGTAGCTCAGCTGCTGACACTGATTTACAAGCTTCTGCCACAGGGCCACCTCCATTCAAGTGTAACATCTGCGATGAAATCTTTTCCCGTCAAAAAACACTCTGGAATCACAAACTCATTCATTTTGATGTGAACACCGTCAGGTGTACAGTTTGCAGCAAAACTTTCCGAACTTCTGCAGACCTGAAGGAGCACTCTCGGATACACAGCAAGGAGGGCTCCTTCAATTGTGACTTGTGCGGAGAAGCTTTTAGAACCCGAAGTGCACTTCTAAAACATCAGACTAGCAACCACTCTGGGGGGAGCAGTGATGCATCTACCTCAGACATCCGTAAGAAACAGAAGAAGGAACATGTGTGCCCTTACTGTTCCAAAGCATTCAAAGGTAAAACTCATCTTGAGGAGCATGAACGCATCCACACAAATGAAAAGCCCTTTGCTTGCCAAAAGTGTGGTAAAGCTTTCTCTCGCAAAAACACGCTGACCCGGCACATTGCAACCCACTCTGAAAATAGGAAACCGTTTCTTTGCCATAAGTGTGGCATTTTCTTCCAGACTTATTACTCATTAAGAAAGCACAGGCAACTACACAAGGATCGGCCCCACGTGTGCAGGTTTTGTAAGAAGACATTCTCCACACCAAAACATTTACAGAAGCACCTGCAAAAGCACAGGAAAGATGAGTACATCTGCAGGTGTTGTAACAAGAGGTTTCAGACCCACTTCAAATTGATGAGGCACAGAGAAAGCCATCAAACTAAGCAGAGGACTTACAAGTGTGTCGACTGCAGCAGGTTGTTCAAGACAGCAACCCATCTCCAGAAACACCAGAAATCAACTCACAAACCTAAAGGATCCCATGTTTGCAGATTCTGCCAGGAAAGCTTTAAGAAAACCAATGATCTCAACTTGCATATCCGCTCCCACGCCAAGGCTAGGAGGGGTGGTCGAGCACTTGCCCAGAAATCCCCTAAAGATAAATACCGCTGTGGGATCTGCAGCAACTCTTTTGAAACCTACTATCGGATGAGACAACACAAACAAATGCACCAGGAACGGCCTTTTATGTGTGACATTTGTGAAGAGACCTTTCTGACAGGAATAGACCTGAGTGAGCATAAGAAGACTGAATGCACTGATGCCTTCAACTGTGAAATGTGCCAAAAGACGTTCACTTCTCAGACTGCCTTGCAGTGCCACCAAATCAAGCATGTCATAGAGAGACCGTACATGTGCAGTGTTTGTCTCAAGTCCTTTAAGAGCACTAGTCATTTGAAAGCTCATATGTTAAGTCACGCAGATGGGAAATTCTACACTTGTGCCATCTGTGACAAAGGGTTTAAGGAACAAGGAAGTCTTCAACGACACCAGCAGTTCTGCCAGAATAGAAGACCCAGTGAAAGACCTGAAACATCACAGAGGACATCAGGTGTTGCATCCATGACGTACCCTGTACTCTGCCGCGATGGCGTACCAGTGGTGAATCAGCCGATATTACAGACCTTTGTGCTTAATCCTGGACAGGATCTACAATCCATAGAGTGTCTTCAACCCTCTGAAAGTGTCACCATTCCTAGGAATGTCTCTTCCTCTGTCCAATCTGTGCACAGGAGCTTTGAACAGGCAGTCGTCAATTCTGTAGCTTTACTTGATCAAAGTCAGTCAGTTCCATTGGGCATTTCATTCAATAAACAAAGTGGAAACTGTGTACATCTCTCCCATGCTACCATATTAGGTAATGAAGTACATGTAAATGGTGAAGTAGACATGCAAAGGAACCCGTCTGAAGGAGAATCCCCTTTGAGGAGGAACAAGAGTGCTGAAGTTGCACCCAGTGCAAGCACACCTTCACGGTGTCAGGAGTCTTACAGTGAAGGAAGGGACGTACTTGGTGAAGCTGGTGCTGAGTCATCTGATGATGATGGTGGTGGAGGGGAGTTTGCTCTGACAGATACTAGTGATGAAGTTGATGAGGTTGTCCTGAACAGGGTCTGCACAGAGGTGCTTCTTCCTGAAACATTTACAGAGAATTCAGATGATTCAGGTGTGATAAGCCATCAGTTGGTTTCTGCCCAACAACATTTCAATCTGAACCACCCAACACTGCAGCTGGTCATTAACAAGATTCAGCTTTTCACCTGTCATGTTTGCAAGAGAGACTTTCAGTCGAGTATTCAGTTGAACCAGCATAAGCTCTGTCACCAAGAAGATAACCCTAATGTCAGGATACCTACTGATGGCTCCACTAATCATCAGACAGGTCACACAAAGACGTTGTCTTGCAGTTTTTGTGGAAAAGATTTTCATCGTCGTTCCAGACTACAGGAGCATGAGCGTATTCACACAAAGGAAAAGCCATACAAGTGTACAAAATGCGGGAAAGAGTTTTCGCACAAAAGTAGTCTTCGAGGTCATGAAACAGCTATCCATGGAATGACATGCCCCCAAAGACCTAGAAACATCATAAAAAATTGTGATATTTGTGGGAAAACATTTAAAGGAAACTCTTACTTCAAGCGCCATATGGCTACTCATAGCAGTGAGCGTCCTTATAAATGTGAAAGATGTGATAAGGCATATAAACAAAAGTGTCATTTGTCGGTTCACCAAGTAAATTGTATTGGAACAGATGCATCAAAATCTGCAGTTGTTCCTGAACCAAGTGAGAAGCCTGACGGCACATTTAATAACTATGTTGCTACACGAGGTGCATCGGATGTCATCAGTGTTGACAAACTCAAAGACTTAAAAAGTTGTTCAGGGACTGATGATACACACCCTACACGAATAACTAGAGGTTCGGCAGCTCGAGCCATGCAAAATCTAACTGCTGAGTGCATGGAACAGGAGCATGGCAAAAAGGAACTCTCCTCTAAAAGTCTAAAAACCAAAGAGTTAAGTGGAGAAAAGAACAGCCAAACTCCAAATCTACATGTAGATGAGGCTCTGGCAAATTATTCACAGAGTAGCACTGAACATGCGCTAACCAGTGAGGTTGGAGGAGATAAGGTTCAAACCAAGATAACTTCAGACTCTGTGAGTACATCTCCAGCTGAGGCTGAAGGATCAAAAATACAGTTGTCAGCAAGTGTTGGCCCTGAAGGTGCTACAGCTGTTATGGAAGCTGCTACTGAGGATCAAGTAGGGACATCTAAGAGAAGAACAGTCACTTGCAGATTCTGCGGAAAGTTCTGCGGTTTCCGTGCCAGACTATTAGAGCATGAGCGTGTTCACACGAAAGAAAGACCCTTCAAATGTGACAAGTGTGAGAAAACATTTGCCTATGGTAGTGTACTCCGGAGCCACAGGATAACAGTCCACAAGATGAGAATTTCCCCTCGAGGGATAATGAAAACAAAAATGATGCCTCATTTGAAGGACGCAGACTCAAATGATGTTGACAGCAAGTGTAGCATCCTTCAGTGCAGTATCTGTCACCAGGAGTTTCAGTCGGCAGCCTTGATGAAACAACACAGGAGCCAAGCGCACAAAGAGAATCGACCATACCAGTGTGATCTGTGTGACAAGGGTTACTTTGCAAAAGCCCACTTGAAGGAACATCACGTGCGAGCTCATTCCAATACCAGAAATTTCAAGTGCCCCGTTTGCCTTAAAGGATTTAGGACCAAGTCTGATTGCACTCGACATAAACAAACTCACAGGGCTAGGCTTAAGACAGGGAACCCATCATCTGCCAATATTGACCCGGTCATGGAGCCAAAAAATGAACAAGCTAGAGATAAGGAGACTGTGTTGGGTGCACACCAGCCTTGGAAATCAGGAGGAAACAAGTTAACCACATGCAGGATCTGCCACAAGAGTTTTCGCTTTGTGACCCTCCTCAAGGAACACATCAAGCAATTGCATGGAGAGGAAAGACCATTTCAATGTGACATGTGCAAAAAGACCTATTACACCATATCCCATTTGAAAGAGCACCATATCCGTGCTCACACTAACTCTAGAGATTTTATATGCCCAATTTGCCAGAAAAGGTTTTGTAGGAAATCTGATTTAAACCAGCACAGACGTACTCGTTGCTGTGAACCTTCTGAAGCTAACCCTTCTGCTTCAGATTATCGGGAATCAACTGGAACTTGCGAAAGTAAGCAGTTGTTTACCCCTAGTGGAGAAACGAGGTTAGTTTCCTGTTCAACTCATTATTCAAATGATACCTCAGCAAATTCCAACAGTAGCAACATTGAACAGCCAAGTAGTAATGAACCTGTTTGGGATAAGGTGGGAACAATGATCACTGCAGAGACAGCACCTGAAGCTGAGACCTGTAGATCTGAGTTACAGTCGTCAGCAACTGGTCACTCTGAAGGTGCTTCACCCGATACCGAAATAGTTTACAAGGGTCAGCAAGGGACATTTGAAAAAAAATCAGTCACTTGCAGGTTCTGCGGAAAATTCTGCGGTTTCCGTGCCAGACTATTAGAGCATGAGCGTGTTCACACGAAAGAGAGACCTTTCAAGTGTGACAAGTGTGAAAAAACATTTTCCTACGGGAGTGCACTCTACAAGCACAGGAGAGCAGTCCACACTGATAAAGAGTTGTGTGATGATGGTAGCAAGTCCTGCCTTCATCAGTGCAATCTCTGTGACCAGACGTTTCAGTATGCAGCCTGGCTGAAACAACACAGAAGCCATGCACACAAAGACAATCGACCATACCAGTGTGATCTGTGTGACAAGGGGTACTTTGCAAAAGCCCACTTGAAAGAGCATTACGTGCGAGCTCATTCTAATACCAGAAATTTTACTTGCCTTGTTTGTCTCAAAGGATTTAGAACCAAATCTGATTGCACTCGGCATAGACAAACCCATGAGGCTAAGCCTCACGTTAAGAAGTCACACCTACATGTACTTCAGCATGCAGAAACTCATCGCTCAAAGGCTGTTCGCTGTAATCTCTGTGGTTCATTGCACAAACCCCTTCCAAAACCCCGAAGGTTCAACTTTTACAAGAGGCGCAGGTTTTGGTGCAGTGCTGTGAAGCGCAAGGTACTGCAGCCAAAAGGAAGCAGCAGTTCAACTCAGAAGGACACCAGACTGTTCCAGTGTACTCTGTGTGGGTGCAGTTTCGGTAAGACGTCCTGCTTTAAGAGGCACTTGGAAGTTCACGCTGAGGGCAAGGAGTTGAACTTTTGCAGTTCTTGTGAGAAACACTTCAAAACCCTCAGCCACCTTCAGAGACACAAATTAATAATTCATTCAGCTAGAAAATCGGTTGATCGTGTCAGGGACCCGCCTGAGGAGCCCACGAAATGTGAAAAATGCCAGAGAACATTTCAAGATAGAAGTTCTCTTGTTAGACATCTAACTGACGACCATATGAACAAACGGTCGCATTCTTGTGAAATATGTGGTGCTTTGTTTAAAACCGTTTGGAGACTCAACGCGCACAAGGAGCAGATTCATCCGGATGGTCGAATGAAGTTATTTGTTTGCACTGTCTGCAACAAGAAATTCCGCATCCGGTTTCTTCTTCGCAAACACGCAGAGAGTCATTTGAAGAAAGCAGCATTAACCTGTACATTGTGTGATGCGTCCTTCCTAGCGGAACTATGCCTTCTCGCTCATAAGTGCCCCCGACGCGTTCAACCCAAATCAGAGCGCAATTTCATGTGTGACCTGTGCGGAAAGCTCCTCCGATCACTTAGAGATTTGACGAATCACCAGTTGGCCGTTCATTCCAATAAAAGAGACTTTATCTGCGAGCGATGTGGGAAGAGATTTAAAACTGGTAAATGTGTGGAGATACACCAGAGGAGGACACGCTGCCAGGAACCGCAGAAGTACACCTGTGAGACGTGCGGCAAGACCTACCCGAGGGTGGGTTCCTTGGTGCTGCATCGACGTTGTCATCGAGAAAAACAGCGCACCTGCAAAGTGTGCCACAAGGTCTTTGCTAGCGCGAACTGCCTGTGGTATCACATGAAATCCCACTTGAACGTGAGACCCTTTGCCTGCAACGTTTGCCCAAAGAGATTTTACTCCAACAACTTGCTCAAAGAACACCTCAATATCCACACGGGAGAGAAACCTTTTAAATGCAAGACTTGTGGAGCTGCTTTTACCCACCGTGGGACCTTGCACCATCACTTCAGAGTTCACAAAAAGCCAAAAACATCGAAAAAAGATACCAAATAATAATTGTACGTACCTGAAAGCCTTCTACATGTTACTACATGTACATGTCGGCCTACTTTCGCTTAGTTTTTGAACAGCTGTAGATCATAATGAGATACATATACATTTATCGAGCCATGTTCAGACTTTCAAACTACATGTACATGAAAATTTATTGTGTGGATCACGAAATCACATTACTGAATACATGCTTAGTTCCTGTTAGTAGGATTGTTGTTTGAAAAAGAGGGAAAGGGTTAGCAGAGGGGGACAACCTCACGTCTTTTGAACCTCTTGTGAATATCAGATTTTAGGGTTTGGGCATTTTCGTACCAATCGAGGCTGCGCCGAGTTGATAATCATAAAGCACAAGTAGACTGCCCAAACTCTGGTGTTAAATTTGTATTAATTTTGCACCCTGGGTGTTGTCAGTCCTGTGATAACATACAGGATATTCCGAACTAACACTGCAGGTTTTGCAATGAATGTTGTTTGAGATTATCAGTACCTTCTGTAGTGTTACACCTTGTGTTACCGTTAACTTTAGATGCCTTGGTGGGCAATGCGTTTGACTTTCTTCAATCTTGCATGCGTACACGGATTTACCGAACGGGTCACGAACTGCGGTATTAGGTATGCATGTACAACGTAGTTCCCACTGCAAACTGATTTACCATCGCTGTAATTAAGGCTCCTCATGGTTAAACCGAACTCGTTTCGTTTCGATCAGATTAGGGATTGTCTGTTCCCGTGTTAAGATTGCACTGGGTGGGGTTTCAGTATCTGTGGATGTGATGTACACTGCAGGTCTGTAACTGAAAGGCCATGTAACTTCAGGCCATGTGGCTAAAAGGCCTGCTTTTGAGGCAAGAACGGATTTTGAGCTGCGCAAATCAATGCCGCGCTTCAGTATTTTTCGCCTCGGTCAATCCTCTCTGCGGGAGTTACATGTAACCTGTAACCCCCCTAGAACCATTGGTACGACCTCATGAATCCTACTGGCTTTCAAAATGAAAAAGCAAAAGATATGCAGGCATGTTTGGTCCGCTTTGTTGAGGACTCGCGCCCTCCCATGAAAAGTCCCAGCTATACGGATCTGGTCGTTTGTCTTTTTAAGAATACTTCGTAACTACATGACGTTTCTCTCAGTACTCTGCTGAGGAAATGACAGTGTTTGAGTGCACAAGGAAAGAAATACAGTGTAATGAATTTGTTACATGTACATGTATGTCATAATTATGTAGGCCTACATGTATGTGCTGTTCAGGCGTGATACTACAGGGGAGGTTGGGGGATCTGGCCCCCTTCGCCAACTTATGTCTGGCCTCCAAAACTGCAAAGAAGTAACGAAAGTTAAAGGATGACGTCACGTGCGAAGGGTTTATCCCCCCCCCCATGGCTCTGGAACTGCACTTGATGCCAGGCCTGTGTGTGGTTGCATTAGATCCCCTTATACGAATTTCACCTTTGTGGAAACTTGGATTTTGCGTACTGCAGTGACTTTGACTTTTAAAGAAAAACTCTGAATAATTGATTTACGTATTTTGCAGTACCCATTACATATAGTTTGTTCATTATGAGCGACATTATTGGTGTAAAAATCGTTAATGTGTTTGTTTGAAAGTTAGTGTAGATAGCTTGTTAACCTCCGTTTTAGAACCAAAATGCTACTTTTGTGCATCCCTTTTGAAAAATTCCGGTTTATCCGCCAGTTTAAGAGCGAGAAGCGCAAGTTTTCAGTGTGATCTACAAATTTTGAAATAGTTTGAATGCCTTTATGCACGTTTTGAATTTTGTTCTCACATAGTTCGCACCTATGTTTTTGATTACGAATCTACGTTATTCTTTAATTGCTGTACATGTATAGTCGGCAAGTACCTTATAACTGTGAAACCAAAAGTTGGCGAAATTCGGGACCTGGCGACTATAGGAACCATGTGTAGGCCTATGATCTAATGCAGTAATATGCATGTGTATTTTGTGATTTCAAAAACAGACTTTTTTCTCAGAGATATGGAAATTAGATGTTCAGCTACAGATTGCATTATTATGAGCCACTTGGATTATTTGAAATCTTTCAGGATTAAAGCATGCGCACCAGTCGACGTATGGCCACAGCTACGCCGATAGGACAGACTATCGCGCGTGCGTGCTGCAGTTCCCGAGACTACCAGACTCGGACACCCTTCAGTTTGGGCATGCGCTGTTGGAATACTCCCTCGTTGTGTCAATGTTATAACGAGGAACGCTCAAGTTAAAAATATAGAACATTGATTGAATTATATTCTTGTTTTCAAAATTTGTCCCTTCTCTTTGTGAAATGTTGGGCAAAATTGAAGTACATGCTCTTGGCAAAGATTGTCATGTACAGCCTCGTTCACAGTTGTAACTGTTTCGTGTGTGTATCATTTTCAATCGTACCCCTATGTCGCCTTTGATGTTAAATTCTATGACGAATAAAGCATTGTGAATTTCAAGTTTTACAATGCTCTTTATGTTGACTGATTTAGAGGATCTCTTGTGAATATTATGTCCTCCTCATATGCATGGACATTGCCAGGGATTTTTTTTCAAGGGGGGCAAACCGTTTTTCCACACTGGGTGGGGATATTCCTGAGGGCAAGCTAGGTTTAGTGGTGAAATGAAAGTAGACATGACGAGGGAAAAATAAGGATTGATAAATGATTATCAAACCCATTAAAGGTGGAAGGGCGATATTTTAAAGAAAATCTGGGACTTTCATCCCATTGCCACTCATCTCTTTTTATTTTTTTTTTGCCAACTTTTTTGTGTGCCCCCCCCCATTTATCCAAGGGGGCTTCCCCCTCCCCTCGCGACGTGTTCACATGGAGCTGGGTACAATGTATACCCGAACGCCTAGTGTCAGTGACGTCACCATGTTGACCTTTGTTAATAACGGTGTTGTAGGCCTAATTTAAAACTCAATAATTTTATGGGTTTTTCATAAATTGCCGGCTTGAAATCACCCCGTATCACTTTTGCGTTTGAAAACGATTCTGTCTTGATCGAGAGCGGGAGACTGGGCGCTGAGGTGCAGTCCACTTTAATACAGTGATTACTGTCATTTCGAAGCTTCGACAACAATCCAATGTTTTTCCCCTTTGCCCTCTTTTCTTTTTTTCATCGAAGACTGTAGGCCTACCCAGTCTCTTCGAATTTCTGTCCTAAAAGTAATGGAATCTGCAATTCAACCTATTAAGATCGTTTTATGCTTTGGCCCTTTGTTTTCCTGTTTCCTTTTGTTTAGCTTCCCTCTATTTGTTGGTTCGCACGTTCACCCTCTTACTTTTATTTGTTAGTTTGTTTTCAAAATCACATTCGGCAACCAGCGCTCAGCACTTGGCGCACTGGCTGGCAAGACGCGTGACGAGCTGGATTTCACGTGACAATTAGCCAGCCTGTGCTGAACGGAGCACGTGATCTCCACTTGACTCGGTTACTTCCGGGTTTTTTAAGCGTACGCACGCCCAGTTTGGCCAGCCGATGTCTTTCTGTTCTCTTCACTACCATTGAAAGGACTGTCTTATTTTCATTTGGAGTGTAATTGCTTTTGGCGTACAACGCAATAGCTTGTATTACATCTATTTATGTTTCCGCCACACCTCTTTTCACTTTCATGCTCACTTGTTCCGCATTCTGTCAGCGACAAATACCGATTTTTGTTTCCTTAATGCGTGAGTGGTATCGAAAGCGTCACAAGGAATGTGATACTGCGACAAAGTATCGATTCTTTAAAATGGAGTAATCCGACGACACCGAATAGTTAATGCGGTATCGACAATGTTGAGGTCAGGGGTCAACAGTATCAACCGAGAGTGCTGTGTAAATACGGACGAGAAACCGGGCACCTAGTTTCAGTTTAATCATTCGGAAAAGTTCACTCCTGACTCCTCGTTTGCAAGTGTTGTCGGAAAAGAGTATTTGAGTGACATTCTGCTGCAGATGAAAGATCTGTACAGGCTGAAAACAGGTACGAGTTTGAGGAATGAACGAAGGCGGTAACGAGACTGAGTGTATATGGGCCTGGGGTTCGTATGCATTTCTGAGACGGTCTGTACTAGCTAGCATAAATAATGACACAGTCATCAGCGGTTATAGCAGGGCGAGAGCGAGTCTGGGTCGCCAGTTTCGTGGGTTTTTCAGTTTTTTTAATACATTCCTACTTTTGGCATGATTTTCTCACGAGGGATGGGAAAGAAATATCCAATTGGCATGACATGCAGACCCTGGAATCAGTTTTCCTTCCTTTGAATCAACTTGGTGCATGGGATGACCGACTGTTATGTAGGATACTATTAGTATTAGGCCTGTATTCATGTATGTTTACTGCAGTCTTCTGTGACTAAGGTTGAATTCGAGAAATACAGAAAGATTGTACGTCCTGTGTCTGCAGACCCTCTGTAGCTTTTGGTCCTAGACACGCCCAATGTGCCATAGGCACGATAGGCTGAGTTACAACTGAGTTCAGTTGTTGATAGATCACCTTCCTTGAAAATGACACCGTAAACTGCATGACATACTTCATATTTCCACTACAAAATGTTGCATATTTCTGAACTGTCTGTCATGGTATCTTCTTCTCGATGTTAAGTGCAGCAGAGAAAGACCCGAATTTCTGACTTCCACGGGCAACTGATTTATGTAGGAGTGTTGTCATCAATATAAAAAAAAATTGAGGCCCATTTTGGAAAGAAGGGCTTTATGATTTCAGACGTACCTTGAAGCTGTACTGAAGAAACCATTACTTTGAGATGGACTGATGCCAAAATAAAATGTTTAAGAAAAATATTCATTTACCGTTTTTTTATCTCATCGATGATTATTAAAGTTTTAACTTTCTACTGTAGCATGAGACAGAACTGGGCATTGGGCAATAGTTCTGTTTCGACCTTGTATTATAAGATATATACTTCCTCATTGAAAAATCAGGGAAGTGCTGTTCATCGACCCATTTCATCATGTAGGGTATATTCTGCATGTGTTCAAACCCTGGTGTAAGAAATGATCCTTGAACTATTGTCGTGTAGTGTATCATGTACAATATAAAATTCCCAATAACCTGTGACCTGATTATGCTGAACATTTCAGCTGTCGAATCATTAAGTCATTCTATGCACAATGGGCACTCGCATGCAAGGTTTTATTGCACATCGAACACTGACGAGATAAGTGTATTATCTCTGGGCCAAATGTCCACCTGTCCCAAGGACTGGCAAAAACAAATTTGGACAGGCAGTTTTTGCTTGTTCAGAAATTACAATCTCTGCCTGTACCCCCACAATCTTTGAACACTTGCGTGTAAACAAGTTGTCACATTTAAGGATCCTTAGTGCAGTGAAAATATGGCCCTTGGAAAGCGCCATTGTGTGCCAGTTAAAATTTCAGCTTTTTAACCTTGCCTGGAAGGGACAGGTGAGATCATGGAGGAATAACCCCCTCCATGGTCAGATATTGTATATATGTGTATGGTATAGTATGGTATAAAGCATACAGGGGACACATCAGACCCGCTGTGTTAGGTGTAGGCTTCTCGTTGAAAGATTGACGCCAAATTAAAACAACCCATCAATGAAAATATTGCCCCACTGCCTCCTGGAATGCTGACACTGATGTTGCATTGACTAGAGATTGTAGCATGTTGTTCCAATTCCTAACTGTTCTGGGGAAGAAGGTTTTGTCGAAAACCTTGGTATGAGAACGGGTTTGCAATTGTTGTTTTTTTTTGTATGACCCCTCAGATTCTAACATTTGGAGTAGTCCTAGATGAAACACTTACGACGTTTATGATTAAAAGTGCACAGCATGGCAGATGATTAGAAGAACCGTTTGCCTGAATCAAGTTTGCACTTGAAAATAAATCCCAAACTGCACTTATTTAGGCTTCTTAATATGCGGTGGGTCCAACGCAGAAGATGACTTCGTAGCACGGTCTTTTTGGATCCATGAAACGACTGGGACATTTTAAGAAATAATATTGCAATACCTTTTTTGCAAATGTTACAAACTAAACAATTCCTCAGCAATGCTAATGATTCTAGAAGGAGGAAAAGCTGTTATAAGATAGACAACATGAAAAATAAAAAGATAGAGTTGAAATATAAATGAATAAAGTAAAACCAAGAATCAAAAATAAAGAAATAGAAATATAACAGAAAACTCAAATAAATTAAGAACAACAAAATAAAAATAAAATCTGGTTTTGTTTTTATTTTTCGTGTTGTCGTTTTTGTCTCGATGGAAGCCCATGTAGGTCTGGGTTTGATTCAATACAATATCTTCGTAGCTAGGGCCTATCTCTAAGATCAAACATTTTACCAATCCACATAAGATATGTCTGGACATAACCTTTCACCTTATTTTAATTCTACTTTAAATCGTTAGGTTGAAAGGAATAAACTCCCAAGAAAAACGTTTTACAATGGCAGGACAGTTTACCAAGAGAATAGAAGATCTAGCAAGCATCTACGAGGCTGTGTCTAGTTCCAATTCGAACGGAACATTCGGACATTTTCTCAGGTCAGATCTCACCAAAGAGGTTCTGAGAAAGTGTAACTTGACAGCCGTAGACATGCGATATGTCACCCTTGACCAAGGCACCCAGCTTTATTCATTCGATGGGCAGTGGCAGCAAGATATAATTGCGCACCTGTATTCAACTCGATTCGACGATCCGATGCCAAAGGTGCCCGACCTCGGTGCCGTCGACGAGACGAGCTGCGCCCGGCTTTTCGCCACCGAGACACCCCTCCGTGTTCTCAGTGTGCAACGGAACTCTATGCTAGAACTCTGCAAGACGTGGGTCCAGGGGCATTACGAGACAGGTGGCGGGGCCGCCAATAACGCCCTCAACGGTGAGGAGAGCATGACGGCCGAGGAGTCCACCGAAGTGCTGTCAGCCATGCCCAGCAATATTTTCCAGCGTAAAGACGGCCTGTCTTTTCTGGACTTTGCTTTGTTTCGTGAGTGCAACAGCGATTTCCATTCCGTAGCAGGGGTTGCCTTCGATGATGCGGTACCGCCCCCAAATCCAACCTCCAGGCATATCTTGCTCTTCGGTACCGAAGCTCTCTGTCTCCTGCAAGAATTGGTCTATCCGTCGAAGAAGAAGTTGCGGAAGTCCGCTGACGGCTTCATGTCTGTTGTGAGCGAGCCCAGTCGCCCCCAGGCACCGCCCATGAAGAGAGGCAGGTCTATCAACACTCCTCCCGTTGGTTCACATTCCCCTGCGGGGCCCCCACCCCCGCCTCCCTACCAGCCGAAGACGTCGCCCCACCCGTCACCTCGGCCAGGAACGCCGACCTTGGCCGATGACAAGCTAGAGGGGAAATCCCCGAGCAAACCTCAGGCAGCGCCGAGAGAAGCCACACTTCCTCGGGAGGCTGTTCCCATCAAATCCCCGCCACCTGCAAAGGACATGCCGCATGAGGATACCCCTAAAGAGGTTGAAACCAATACACAAATGTAAATCCTAAACCTGGTCATTCCGTTATCAGCTGAAATATTGAAACCAATATTGAAGATGTGTGAGCAAATCATAAGTTGGAAAGATTATGTTATATTCAACTGTTTCCCGTCATTTTCTTGCTGTTAAATATGCGAAGAGTGTTCTGGCCCAATCGTGAAAAATCCCTCATGATGTATGCAGTTCAGCTTGCAACTATTGTGTGCATTTGAAAATTATTGTCCACGTTCACGGACGCATAATTCTCCATTTTGGTTCCAACAGTCTGTTGAGACACTCATGTCGCAACTCTCTCGATAAACACCTATATCCGCTCGACTTGAAGCATCCCCTAACCGGTGAAAGAGAGAAACGTTGGTGGAATCGTTTTATCTTTGCCGTAACGTGTAAGGATCTGCGGTCCCCACCACAGGACCATCGTAAATATGTAAAAAAAATGGATGGTAAAAAAGCATGTCATGTGGGAACCCAACATGGAGCCAGATTGGACAACCAAACATATTCAGTCTTTTAATTGAAGTTAATATTTTTGTTGTAAGCTGAAGCGTCCATCCCCTACACTCATGAAATTGAACAAAGCCGTTGACCTGAAAATCGCGAAGGCGCAATTTTACTCACGACGGCGAAGGGTCCTCTATATAAAATGAGGATGTGGAAGTCCAGAGGCCAGGAGATGTACAAAAACTGGCGCTTTTTACTCATTTCGGTTCTAACAACACTTTCCGGCTTTCTGTATTCGTGTAATTTTACATTACAAGTTGATATTAAGCGTATATTAAGCCTATACAGAATGTACAATGTAATCATCAAAACGTAGTAAGTGTTATTGTTGAGGATGCTGTATATGGTTCAAGCCTTTCCGTGCTACATTTAGGTGTCTAATTCATGACGTCAGATACTTGCCTTGCGTAACTTGTAACAAATTTCGACATGAACGTTCTGTGAACGATAGTTTGTGCATTTTGTGTAAAATAAGTTGCTTCTGTTTTAACGTTAATTCGGTATTGTAATGTCTAATTGCATTTTATTTTTAGCTGATTACTTAAAGTCGCCCGCAACTCGCTATTAAAAATCATCCGTCTTAGGGCCTAAAGTGTATTTTTGTACGCGTGACTTGCACTGTGCACCTATAAAGCAGTATTCCTAGGTGACCTTGGTGATGTATAGACACACTGGTAACTGTGCACGTGACGTACATGTGTTTACTTCGGTACTCTATAGACAAGGCAGCTCCATTCTGCCGTTTTAGACCCTGTGGCAGTTTCCAGTTTTGATGCGACCATATTGAGGGAATTCGGTATTCCAACAGCGCATGCCCGAAATGAAACGCGTTCAAGGTCATTTGGACGCGCGTCCAGTGTCTACCCTATCAGCGCGGCCCTGTGCGGATTTGTCCGGAATGACCTTGCCTTTTTGAAATATCGAATTGGCTCATCACTACCAGTACAGTTTGGTCGCTTTTTGTGACTGTCTTTTTGTAATCCTATTAATTTTAAACTTTAAGTCCTTAGAATGCTGAACACTGAGTGAATGATAATGATTGTCTTAACGGTCCTCATAATCTGGTAAACATATGGATTTGGAAATACATCTTTGGAAACGATATTCACTGAAAGACGACAGACAAAGTCACTGTTTTCTCTTTCAAACTTTAATAACCCAGTGTTAGAACATGTAGTGTAAATAAGGGTGTTATTTAGCAGAAACATACATGTATTCAGAAGAAAAAGAAGTTATACGGTTCAGCATTTGAAGCATTAAAGACACATTTACTCAAATTAGCAATAAATTGAGACTTGTTATTCAAATGGGCCACACCCAGTGTAGATCTCTGCTGACGAAACTTGGCCTTCTTGACAATCCTCAAAGAAACTATAATTTTTCACCAAGGTATCATATATCGGCGTAATCATTATGCGAGGTTATAAGTATGCTACCATCATAAAATAAAAGTCACACCAAGGAGAAAATTATTCGTCCTTTTTCGTGCACGAGTTTGTACGTTGGTTATGTGGGGATTTTTTTGTAAACTCATGAATTCTAGCCGTCCCTTTTTTTAAAAAATGCCAACATTTCATTACTTTCAATTTTCAAGTTTGTTTTATATTTCAATAGTTACAACATGAGTCTAATTGTGCAGTCGATTGGTCCTTCATTGTTTTCCGCCTGCCATCGTTTTTTGCCAATAGGAATACACAATGTAGGGAATCTGTCAATAAAACAAGTTGAAGAAATTTTTCTGAACCACCACCCGTCTGTTTACTTGACAAGCATCCAATCCGTTGTTTGTTGAATCAGCATCTGTAAGGAGAAACATAATAGAAACATTCAGTTAAGAAGCATCTTTACAATACAAAAAAAAACTAGACGTTAAACATATAAAAGGTGAAACTGCTCGACCATTGTTGCAACCAACACGGCCATTCACAAGGAATGATTTATTTTGCTCCAGGCTACCACTGAATTGAGCATTTGGGTTCCCGCCAATGAGAAAGTTGGTCTATTAACAGACTTAGTCAATTTGGGGCACGAAGCGCAGAGTTTGCGAATGGAAACGGTCACGCTTTAGCGGCGGTGATACGGGTATAAAAAATGAACAGCAGTAGTAATGAAGCGAACGTGAAGATTGTTAGCCTGAACCTTTAACCAGCAGGTCGGTCTCTTAACTTATTTCTTGCGTCTGGAAGCCATCCTATCATTAGATTTGATCGACTTCATCAGGCGTTGGGGGCAGCGGGATAAAGAACAGGAATAGCATGAACAGAACCTGAAAAGTAAACCCAAGGAACGCACATGAGTGTCTTTTGTACCTGTGTGTATTGCGTCTGAAGGCCGACGGTTGGCTTTCACTGGCACTCGCCCGGATCGCGAGGATGCTCCTTCACACACACCTTACCAGGAGGACAATCTGTGGTTTTCTGACAGGAACCTAAAAAAGGAAAATGGAAAGATACATATGTGCAGCTTCCTTTGTTTTTGTGATTCGGCTTCTTTATTGTGGCTGCATTAAAACAAAGCTCGTTCACGTTAGCAGTGAATTGATTTTAGGAGGGTAATTTTAGGGGTTCTGGCAAGAGGCTCAAAAAGGAAATGAAAAAAACAAAACAATTCGGCAGCTTCATGACTTGTTGTGGGGAGCCTTTAGGGTTGGGCATCTTTATTGTGGTTGCAGTAAAAAAGGAAGAGTAGCATTATTCTAGGTCGACAGTAGAATGATTTCATTACCACTCAGCTTATACATTGAGAATATTCCATGACAGAATTATGCACAGATGTCCGCCTCCCAAACTCTGCATGCACAAAATTGCACTGTGTCCCATTTTACCAAAATTTGAATCATTCAGACAAACAAGACGTTTTTGTGCATTGATTTTTTTTATAAACAGAACGAATGGTTGCATAATTCACAGAGATAGGCTACATCATCAAAGTAGGGAGCCTCTTTGGCGAAGATTTTCTGTTCCCAAAACCTACTGCAAGAAAGGACATACAGCTTAACACACGATCAAAATTAGGAACTGCGCTCTCTGCTGAAAAGTGGGGTCAAGTTGTTTTGGAAGCAAGATGTGCTACTGACTGACCTCTCTTGACTTCAAACTCGCGACGAGCTCCCAGGTCTTCGAGAAGTCTTAGGATCAGCTCTCTCTCCATCTCTGCAAGCAAAACTAGATCACGTCATCGTTTTGTTTGGTGTCTCCTTTCGTTCAAAATATTTCTTACTGTCCGATTCTAAGTATAAACAAAGCCTACCCTGTGAAACAAAAGCAATGGCCTTGAAGATGGCAGTCATGCAGATCCTCTATTGACAATAGAACTGGGGTAGGGCTGTGAGGTTGCCTCTCCAGGAAAGTTTTAGCAGAATACATGCTCTTGATTTTGCGAGCGTACAAGAAAGTACGACTTCTTTAAGGCACAATACCCTACATGGTTCATTTTCTTGGATTCCTATTAGAATAACAGAGGATATTTTTAGTCCACTTCTTCAAATGGAACATCTGCGTGACGGTGAAGTAATGGTAGATTTTCAAAAGAACTCCCCTACTGTGTGGATGTCTGAGCCCTAAGGCATATAAGCGTTTTATGTGGTCGCATTGGTACACCTTGCCGAAGATGAACAATGACAACTTTGTGCGATGGGGGTTTGAAAGCAATTCAAAGCTTTTCCCGGGGGCGGGGGTAACCAGGTGCTTGTTACGAGGTCACCCCCCCCCCAAAAAAAAAGAAAAAAGAGGGGCCAATTTACCACTTCCCAAGACGCAACCGATAAACATCAAGAGAGCCAGGCACAGATACGTCTTCATTGTCGCCGATTTGATTTCTAAAAAGAAAATCAAGAAAACTGAGGGAATAGGGGTCTAGGCATGACGTTAAAAAGAACAAATCAAAACAAAGTAAGGCTGACCTCTAAAGCTAAGCTGCAAAGACGATGTTAGGGAATACGGTAACTTCTTCTGTAACACCTTTCAGCTGTAATTCTGTCGACAGATTTGAAAAGCGCTTAATATTTATCTTGGCAATTCTAAACCACGGACGAATCTGATTTCATGGGATCTCAATGCAGTAAGAAAATCACCAGAACGGTCAGAATATTTCGAAGGTCACTTGAGAAAAAGTTGAGCATCATCTGACACCTTGTGCTTGTACCCAACGACTTTGTAGGACATGCGGGTAATTGCTGTACGTGAGCTAAACTTATTGCTGTCCGTAAATGAAACTCTTGATGCATGTAGGCTCACATCTTACTCAACTCCATTACAGTACTAACTCCTAAAACGTACATCTTAGGCCGTTGCTTTAGAGAAGTAAAGACAAAGTATACAACCTGTCTCACCTTGTCGTAGCTAGCGTCGGTAATACTCTCTCCTGGTGAAGCAAATGCTGTTTTATACCACGGAGGGAAAAAACCCCACCCCGACCAAAAATGTCAATGATCACTGAGCATTTGGTGACAGAAAACATGTAGGCATTCTCTCATTCATTCCAGCAGGACAGTGGGCTACGTACGCCATCACATATCACAATCATTATTGTCCAGTGACGTGACAGAGCTTTTCAAACCTGGCATGCGTGTAAAAACGCTTGGAGTGGTTGCATCCATTCGTTTTGCAGGGGTGGAAGTTAACGTGTTATTAGCGATGTCTAAAGCTGGTCACGGCAGGTATAGTTATGAGAAAGTGCATGATGTCATAAGAATTTAACAAAAGCAAATATTCTGCTGTGCTTAGGGCCTATGTACTTACCAGCTTGGACACCTGTCCTCCCTGTTAAACAAGGTAGACCCTTGTGAACAACAGTACACCTCCCTTCTCTTGAGAACTGACTTTGTTTGGTATACCCAGCAAGAAATGAGACCGAGGGGTACCCCCCCATATACACATGTGCAAACCCTATACACACTTCAATAATAGGCCTACTTAACATATTACCCAAAATATCTGAAAGGAATTCCCCAGGTTCCAGCGAGACAATGACCAACACAAAGCAGGGGGGGGGATTCTCTCCGTCTCATACCTTGCTGCATACGGTCACTGGGCAAATCAAAACTTCTCTATGTTAAACTGGCGGCATTTTTCACGACACTTGACCACAATTATTAAGCCAGCGCACAGTAGCACTTTAACCAGTACATTTTTTTTATTCTGACAATAATCGTACAAAATAGCAAGTAACACCCGTGTCAGATAAGCCTTCTAGAGTCACGCCAAACCAAATTAAAAGCAAATTCAGTTCGACGTCGAAGCGACCAGGCTTGCTAGCAGGCGAAAGACCGACACTTACAGGCGCTTGGACCGACACCAGAGCGATTTGTTTTCAGACGTCACTCTTCTCATGAGCCTAACCCAATGCAAATGTGTGTATTAAGTTTGTTTAACTGAAACTAAAATTTAATCGGGTCGACCCGAGTCGCTCTTTATTCTATTTGGTTTGGCGCGACTCTAGAACGCCTGTCTGAAACGGGTGTGACACAATTTCAAGTATGAGGTAATCATTTTAAATGTACAGCAAATGCATTTCCATTGGCGACTCAGCAAGATACTCTGATGGCCTATGTCGAACCCTTAAATAAACAAAACTTATCAAGAAGCTTTGAAAAATTACTTATTTTAGTCTCGTTTTTCCTCGTCCTTTTATGCTCCAACAATGCAGTCGTCTTTTGTTTCCATTCGATTACCATGTGAAATAAATGGAAACTTTCTTGCTTCAACACTGGTTCCAAAAATGCATAAGTTCTCATGCACATTCCCATTTGGTGAATAACCGATGCACGTTTTCATTTTTAGCTACTGCTGCTTATTACGTGTGTAGGCCTATTTACATCGAATGCAAAGTCATATTTGTCACTTAGTGAATCAAACGGTAAAGAAAAATGGTAAACATCTATTCTTCTCTTCAATTAAAAGAATGAGACACCCGGTTTGGTCTAATCGCTTTGAAGTATGGGCCCTGTAACACTGTTTTTTCCTCTCTTGCACTGTCGCTTCCATGTTGCTGAAGTTATACCCGCTTATGTTCAGGATTTTCCGAAACTATGCCAATCCGAAAAGAGCCCAGAGGAAGCTTTTTCTGTCCGCTTATTCACTGAGGACTGGTGTAATCAATCTTCCCAGTAATCGTCAGTTTCCTACGAATAATCACTCATTCTTTGTCAGGAGTGCCTTCAACGCTTCAACGACAAGCACTCGAGTCGAGCCATATTGAGATCCTATCTTCCGCTCAGCTGAAACGCAGTCATGCGGGACTACGTTGTGTGAACTTGGCTTGTTCCTGCAGTCTGCTTCACATATGAACTGTAACAGCCATTTTGGTTCTAAAGTCTGCAGTTGGCTCTACTCTCTCTATATACAGTTCTATAGACTGGACTTAGCTGCAAAAACTATGTTGATTTGACACCCATCCAGTCTGGTGTAGCCCTCTGATAATAGCCAGGGTGTTATTTTAACACCAATTTAACACAACACTTTTCGGCAAAGTATTGATTCCAATACAATCAGTAATGCGTATAGCAGATAAGGCTTACTAAATACCGCCAAAAAATTGATGCAAGCTGTCTGTTTAAAGTTTCGAAATTACATTATCACATTAGGCTATGTACACCGCTGCAGAAACATTTTTGGCAAAAGAATATACAACTGGCACGCCGGGGAAATATTCGGATGATTGTCGAATTGCTTTTTTAAAAAATATATTCATATACCAGTGACAAAGCTAATAGTATGCAGGTATGTAAAAAAAATTATGTACAAAGGCAGGACGCGACGGCAACTAGAGGCCATCGTCAACTAGAAGCGCCCACATTCGCAAGGACACGGATCGTCGGCGTACGCGCACCAGCAACACTGGAAGTGGATACCGCCCCCTAGGTCCACCCCACCGTCGGTGCTGCCAGCCGCTGAGGGCGGGCTGCTACGCCGCATTCTGGTGATGAAGTTGGCTTCGTCGCTGTCGCCTACCTGCTGGGCCCAGAAGACGGGGACGTTCCGGCACGTGTCCATGATGGGCCCACTGATCTGGCTCAGCAGCGGCACGGGCAGTTCTACCGGGAGAGTCACTCGTAGCTTCTCGACGATAGGCACGGCTGAGTTCTGGCGAATGTGCTGAGAAGTTCAATTGAGATCGAGAAAAAACATTATATGTATCCAAATCGGCTCCTTATAACTCATAACTATAACTCCTTATAACTGGAATGAAAGCAGCTGAGCTATGTATAGAGAGTTGCAAACATAAGTGTCACAATTGTTTGAAACAAACTTGCAGGTGTATGCAGCAATGCACACGGACAAGTTTGAATAAAATGGCCGCACGCTACACTCTACACATAATGATCAGCCATTTTGTTTCCAAAATCTAAAGCTGGCGTAACTCGGACTACATGCAGCCCTGGGTAGCAGGTTTTTGAACTGCCCTATCGATAAAGGTTGTCTGCTCTTATACAGAGTGGATACTCACCAGGTTCTCAGTGTTGTCAAGTCTTGTCAGCAGGCAAATTCCACTCTCATCCAACAAGATGGCCCTGTACCCCTTAATGTGACAAGAACGACTCAGTGTTAGCGTCATACTAGGAATGAGGGACGAAAGCACACCGTGTACACTGCGACAGTGCCGTGATTTGAATTACATGTACATGTAATACGTTTGTATGGTGCATTTTTGAGTTATAGCGAGCGAGCATTTTTCACAGCATCTGCACACGTCGAAGACAGCTTTAATGCGCATTCATGAAATAGACTGATTTTAGCCATTCCTATTGGTCGGAGCCTGTTAAATGGCCGATCTTAAAGGAGCCATGAAGCACCGGCAGCACGTATCCCCATGTACGTCGGTGCGCGTGTAACAAGCCATTGGACGCAGTGTCCTGTGCACGGTACGTGGCTGGATCGGTATTGTGCGCGTAAAACACGTAAATCGCGCTGCGCAGAAGTGCCTAAATTAACCCATGAAAGTTGACCCAAAAATCTAGCCAGATAAAACTGATTGTATTGTGTAGTTCAGATTCTGGCCAGTTGTATACAGTGTCTCATTGTTCTGGGAAAACTTCTAAAAATGGAGACATTTAGCGGGAAAAAAGGCCAAGAGATCGATTGAAAATGGAAATATTTTATCATCTGAGCAACCACTTTGAAGCTAAAATAATTTCATATTCCTCCGACATTTCTTTTCAGAAATAAGTAGAGTTTTATTTTATATTTTATTTTATTCTTCTAGAGCACATATAAAGAGTTTCATTGTGATTGTTTGTTAATTTTGTACAAACGAAGTCTTCAAAACGAGAAGGCTAAACAGAGGATTGGCAAGTTGCTTGGCAGAGGATGGACAATTCCGTATAGGTCGCGAGGGCCTGGTCAAGTAACCGCCCCGCACGGTCGAAGTCGTTTATTTTCACCTGTCAGACGGCTCATCGCGGTCTGCGTCACCACACGCAGACGCACTACGCGCGCATCAGCAAGGGAAATTGAATACGCCTACTCGCGACAGGCACAAATCACGAATGCTAATGAATGCCGATAAATAATACTTGGCCGCTCTTAAAACGTCTGAGAATGGAAGCTGATAACGCCCATGTCGGAGGCGCGAACGTTTAAGACAAGTTTATTCCCTTATGAGCCTCAACCTGGACCGAGAGAGGGCGCAATTTTCCAAGCAAATGCGGCTCCTTTGGTTGAACTGCACTTCGCTGGTTCACAACTATGAAATGCACGCGTTACGGGCGTGTGACTACCAGCAAAATGAACACTCGAGCACTCCCAAACAACATGGCTCTTTTCAACCGATTAGGAAGTGCTTCTGCTCAAAGCGGAGAGTAATGGCTGTAAATTACGGTGGAAACCACATATACTTGGCCTCACCTGGTCTTCGTCGCGTGTCATCGTGAAGATCCTCCCGCCATTCTTCCTGAGAACCGTCAGTCTTAATGGTTTCATGCGCAGATCGGTTTCAATTACCTCCATCCTGTCCTCTCTCTTGAAAAAGCCGAAAGCACAGGTATTCTGACAAATAAAAAACGTCATTGCAATAAGTCCAATGTTGTAATGAACATTCCTGACAATCTAGTCACGCTTGCGTGCCAGTATAGGTGAAGAGCTACTTTTGTACTAAAATCGAGCATAATTATTGAACCTGCGTCTCTCCGTGGACTGACCTCTCTTTTGCAAGGTCAGTTGGCCACTTTTTAAACCTGGCTGTCATTGTTAGAGGAAGACCGATTTTCCACTTTGCACTGATACCATCATAAGCAAAAGGATGGCAGAATATACCAAATTCGTGATTGCCTCAATGTTAAATCGTGGAAACATCGACGAGCGACTGACAGCAGATCCAACCCACAGTTGAAAATTTAATTTGAAAATTAATAGCTGGCTAACCAAAATGGCGTCAGTGGCTTAGAGTTTGCTCACACGAAACAGTGGCTTAGAGTTTGCTCACACGAGACAGAGCAGCTACTTCATCAGCAACGTCGCCTGTTCAGACAGCTACGGGGTTCCTCTGTTGGTCTGGTAAACTTACCCAAGAACTTACCGATGTACAAAGAGTATTGTAGTTCGACACCGGGACGGGGTACCGGACCACCGTGAATTCCTGTGGGGTTTTCGGGACAGGACGGGCGGTCTCTTGGCCCAGGCTGTAAGGGTCGACAACAGCTGGAACGATTCCGTCCTGATGGAAAAAATGAGAAGAAAATTCTCAGCGGATGGATTCAATTTTGGAGAAGAAAAATAGTCTACCTTGGTCAGTGTTTTAACTGTGACCAAACCCACTGAGTGTCCCCTCCAGAAAATGAGGGGCCCAAGTGCCACCCAACCACCAAATGTACGGCAGTTACGCCACTGCAAGTACAGGAAACAATAAAAGGAAGTGGTAAGGAATGCTGGGATATGAAGGCTTCGACTGTGATGCGGCCTTTTGAGGAGGCAAACTCTTGCAGGCGCACTTTGCCGTGATGTACTCAACTGTAACTTGTTCCTCGATTATCTGTGTGGTAATAATCCATCGTCTTACCCCACTGGTTTCTGTATCGCCAGATCCCGATCCAGACGCATCGTCTTCCCAATACCAGTCGTCCCTCCCCTCGTAAACTCCCAGATTGGTGATGGGGTCGTAAGATTCTCCGACAAAAGAAGACGAATAATACGAGGTAGCGGACGACCTGTAAGGTATCTCCTCGTAGTCCTCTCCGTCAGTATCGCTTCCCGAGCCAGAGCCCGCGTCCGAGGCAGAGTCCCAGGTGAACGAGATGGTGCCGTAGTCGGACGACGCACCCAGATCCTGCTCGGACAACACCGAGTACGGGACGGAGAAGCTATCCCATACGGAAGATTCCGGATGAGGGCTAGCAGACGGCGTGGTTCCCGTCGTCTGCTCGGCCTTCGGTGTCGCCGTCGTGGTTTCCGACTGACCGAAGCCACGGTCGTTACCGTCGATCAGGATGTCGCCGGCCCCCGTGGCTGCCCCCGGCACTTCGGTGATCGACTCGGTGACGTCAACTTGGCCGATGTCTCCAACGGGCCAGAGTCCCCCATCGTCGATTTCGATGCCTGGGGACAGTGGCTTCTCGTCTCTGTCACCGTCGTAGTGAGCGACGTGGTGACCATCGTGCGGCGTGTGGTGGAAGGACAACCACAGTGCGATGGCACCGAGCGTACCAGCAACAAGGATGAGGGTTGTCACGACGACCGCGCACGCGCATATCGCTGCTCTTTTCACTTCGGTTCGACTGGCCCTTGATAATGCGACCTGTTCAAAAGAAAACGAAACAGGCATTGTAAAAAATAGAGCAAGTCCAACAGGCTTGGGCAAAAAAGGACGAAAATAATATTCTTCAAGGAGGTAATTGCGGTTGCTACCCATCAACAGGAATTATTTTGATTTGAAATGAAATTCGAAATGACATTCTGCAGGTTACGCTGCAGACTGAAGGTATTGGGCAAGGGTGTAATTGGGGTATATTTTGCGGGGAAGGAACTCGATGGTAAAGTCACAATTAAAACACTGACCAAAGTAGACAATCACAATATTTTTTCTTCTCTAATTTCTGAACGGGCGGGGGGGGGGGACATCGGGGCGCCCCCACATTGATAATACGCCAATGGTGAAGGGCCTGGTCTGCTATTATATGCACCACGTTCGAAATATCCTTGCAGTGAAACACATAACTACATCAGACTGGTCGTACGTCAAATCCATGGTCGAATAAGTTCCCAAAATAAGGTAAAATTTTCAGTATATGGCGAGAAATACCCCCACCCCAAATGAACCCAATTTCGCGCTGACAGGCCTAAATAAAACAAATACACGTGTTTTGTTTCACCTATACGACTGTTGTTTTTTTCCCAATCCGAAATTGGCTGGCACACTGACCAAACTCGTAAATTACGAAGATTCGATTTGTCACTCCTGGGTGGCCGTGAGTAATGATGGTAAACTGGGATGTCAAAGCTACTAGCCTTGATCCCAGACTCCAGAATACATTAAAGCACACAGTGTTTATCTGGAGGATGTAATGCATTCCGGGCACAACGTCTGGATTGAGTTTTTTTGTGATTGGTAACTTGCAGAACAAGCCAAATTTCGCCTGGAATGTTATGATCTCACGTGCGATTGTCCTCTGATCACGAAAATTCACTGTTTATACTAACATCATTGAATCAGGAAATGAGATACCCAAAAGGAATCACCGGGAGCTTTTAGGAAATTTGGTAGACATTAATGATGTTTGCCTAAAGCGCCCCTTCAAATACCCATTTCTCTTGCTGTGCGTCAACTTTTATACATAAAAACAAAAAGGTAAATATAAGATTTTACAAATTTTAGAGATTAATTGAAAAAATCCTGGAATCAGGACAATCCTGATAAAAAAAATCCTGAAATCAAGAAAAACAAATCCTGACCAATCTCACCCCTGACTTTCACGTTGCCTCAATCGTCGTGAAAAAGATCTTTGGGCATTCATGAATTCAGCAACATGTAAACGAATTTTCTGCTACTTTCCTTTTAAGCGGGTGATTTATAATTTTTTAATTTATTTTTCCATTTTCCCGTCTTTGAAGTTTGGGGAATAGTTTCTTGAGATCAAACCACAAGCAAAGATTTCATTTACAAGAGCGGATGTACCTGATTCCGGAAAAGGTGGGAAAACAGAACAGGGAAAAGAAAGTAAAATCTTTATTAAAAAGACCCTCAGGCCGAAGCATAAGCTCAAAAGTTACCCCAAACCCTCGTGTAATTTCATGACAGAACTCGGCGGGTGTTTTGAGAATACCATAACCGACAAAAACCCTAAACCCAACCCAAGAGGCGTTACAAAGCCACGCTTTGCACCATTCTCCAGCGGGCATGGAGACGAAAAAAAAAGCCGCCCCATATTACCGAATTTCCCCGTGCTTTCATCCGGCATTGGTCGTTACTAGATTCCTGGGGGATTTTTTTCTTTTTTTCTTACCAGCAACCGCCCCCCCCCCATTGTGCAGGGGTCGGAAGAGTGAACGTTGTGGGGAAGAAAGCTCGGATTCCCCCCCAGGGTTGTTTGCGACGAACAGAGACTTTAAGCTGATCAAACACCGCACATCCGTCGTTCATTCAGACCATTAATACTCTCCACGAGGCCCCATTCAAGCGTGTAGTGACTGAAAGCGTTTGTCAGTGGGGGCCGGGCCCGATTGCGATGGATTTCACCATGATTTCACTATACTCAACATGCTTTAAGCAGCTCAGCCAGTTTTGAGGTACTGTAGGTCCAAAACTTCGCAAGTATTTTTTCCCAAATAAAAATGCCTGGACATGCTACAACTAGCTCCTCACCAAATAAGGAGTCAGTTTGTGTTTTTGAGATGGACAGCTCGATTCTCGTTGATATAACCATTCCGAGAAAGACGCTAAACCGATGTGGAAGAGATATGTACAAAAAAGGGGGGATAAAAAAATGGCAAAATGACCACTGAAATTAATCTCACATTAATAGCCAAGAAAAATGAGAGAATATCTAACATTGAAACGGAATTTAAGTCAGAGTTTAGACAAAATCTAAACAGATATTTCCAGAAAGCTCAGTGCTTGTATTCACAACCAATTTTTCTATTTGTTGCATTTGATAAGATTAGAATCTAACATAACACTCTGAACAAACTTTTGTACAGGACATTGGGGTTTTATTCTTTCTTGCTACATTCCAGGACATCAGAACTTGGCTGAATTGCAACTGTTTCCAAAACAAACCAACAAGACTTTCAGATAACCTCTGAGCAACCCACAAACTGCTTCTTATTCATGCCAGGGACGAGCTAATCTTTCAGATCAAGAAAAGCTACCTCAATCCGAAGCTTCTCTAACTTTTGTTCCGCTGATTCCGGAAATTCGGATCGTTAATTGAGGCAAGTCGATCGAAAAGAGAGCAACAAATGGGCAAATGCAAGAACGATAACAAGAGGCACATTCCTTGGGTAATATCTTCAACTTTACACCAACAGACCGGCAAAAGTCAGGCAGAGACGACGTAATCCTTTGAATCAAACTGCTCACGTCACAGACATCTCCTTTTCCTAACAGTGACAACCAACTCGAAAAAGTCATCGATCGTGTATTGTTTGATTTTCACAAACCAAGGAAAGAGGTATTCATGAATTCATCTCCATGCACCATGAAGGTCAGCCTGGGCAATTTCGCATCGAATTAGAACTCCTCCTACCGAGGCGCCGTAACGGTTTCCCCGTGATTGGAGGCTGATTTACCGCAAACCTCACAATTCGCTCGGGAGCTTATTAATACCCCGGTCACTTGTGCACTGCTGGTGCACGCTCCTGGGACCACTGGAGCGAAGAAAAGGCATCCTGACAGGACCAAGCTACGGTTTGATGGACACTCACAACTGTCAGTTGATTGGCACATGGCACTGAACAATCACTTTAACGACTATAGAATGCATGGTTTTCTGTTCCAATGAAAATCTCTAACCGCACTCAGCCGTTTATTCTGAAGTCCCTTGCCTATTGCCACAACAGTGCAATGGCGTTTTTCTTCCCGAGGAGAATTTCTTCAGAAGAACCTAAAATGCGTCAAACACCGATCGAAGGTTTGCACGCATTCCTACGTGTTCGAAGTCTGTCGCGTTTATGTTTTATTTGTCCCTGGTCCATAAAATGTTAAGCTAACATGACAGGAGAGTGTGGTAGTCCTGATTGACTTCTGACAGTATCGAAAGCGTCCCCATTAATGGCAACATGAGATTGACTGACAGACGGATTAGGGAATTGAGATTTACAAAATTTAAAGCTCGATACTTCTCCAAAATTTCTCTGTGAGTGGAAAACGGTTGTCAGGCGAAATAACAGAAAGGATTTCTCCACCCTGGCATCACGTAGCACGGCTACTGATCAGGCAAAAGAAAATCGGCTTCCGGTTTGAAAAGTTTCAACTTGTGGATCTCGGTTAATCAACGTCTTACTGGGCTCTATGTTAAATTATAGATGACTTTTTAATGACTGTACTCTGTACCGAATTCGTGCCCTGCGGCAGCGAATCTGTCGACTAATCCGATTAGACGCCTCGACATCGGCGGCACCGCAATCTCTGCACATTCTTCAACTTGACGCGCGCGTGCATAGTACCGAAATGTGACGTCACTGTGAACTAGAAAGTGCAGTGCAAACAAATGGAGTGCGCGCGTGTTGGTTCACGCGCTGGTTCTCGCGCTAATGCCTTTTACACACTAATTGTGCGCGTGACGTATTCACTTCGGCATGTAACGCGCGCGAACCACTCGTCGGTGTCCACGATCGTTGTGCCACTGCAGTCATGGCTCTTGATTCTAGTTGTCGAATTAAACTCTGATATACTTGAGGTTTCATCCAACACTGGAACGATCAGGAGGGTTGCCCCCTTACGCCCCTACCTGCCTGGGAATGGAATTAGCCTATCATCGTGGGGAGAGATAGGTTGACTTGTTACAAAGTCTTCGTCACAAATCCTGCCTCAAAACCAACAGCATTAGTCAAGGGTCGCACATTGTAGATACGCCAAACGCGTCGAGCTTAATAAAGATCAAACGTTAATCGGCCATGAGGAAGTCATCCGCAAGGGCAGGGGTGCATCAACCCCCATCCAGGGGAGTCCCATGGTGAGGGTTGATGGTGATTAGTTTGAACCCTAATGGAATTGGCAGAGAGCCTCTTGTCTGCCGTCCAGGCTGTACACTAAATAATATGATTCACCGATAAGTATGCGCAGATCGATTCAGGTGACGAAATAACTACCAATTACAGAGTAAAAGCTTCCAGGGGAATCATCTATCAACCTACACCCCGGGATTTGATTTTGACAAATTGCTAGAGTTCAGAATTCCATACAGCTGGCTGGAATCGTACTCGCCTGGAAGCAGATCAAAGTTTTTTCTCACAATAATCATTTCAGTCAAACCTTGAGCAAAAAGTCGGGAAAAGTTGCTAAAGTATGCAGATTTGGAGAAATTTGCACTTTGTCTACTTTCTCGAAGATGATTCGTTGCCTAAGTTTAAGTGATTCTCACGGATAGTGGGTTACGTTTTCGACGCAGGAATAGTCTTCTTCAGACGCAGTAGTGCATGGGGGATATCTTGGGTTCAAGAGACAGTGGATTTGTTTCCAATTTGAATGACCGATATGCACTTTAATAACGTGTAGAAACTTGAAGTAATGGTAAAAACAGACTCAGAGGTAATGTTATCATTCGTCATTGCCTTCAGGAAGACGCTAAACCTACTATC